ACCTCGCTTGACGGGTTATAAAAAAACTTATACTTTTTTTTCAAAATGTTTCATTTTGGCGCATAAAATCTGTTATTTTGATTTTTTTGAAATTTTAATATACCGAGTGCCACTCACACAATCACGACAAATCAAATGATACCTCGCATGTCAAAATCCGTCAAGACGTTCAGGCTGTAGGGCGTGCCAAATTATTGGACATACATACATACATGCATACATACGCTCGAAAAACATTATCCTCCGCAGTCGGGCAAAAAGTAAAATTTTGAACAATCAAAATATTTTCATGTTTTAACTGTGTTTTATTGGTAAAAAATTGGCTAACCTAGCAACCCTACAATTCACTCACTCATCAATAGCAGCCGCCATTACGGTGCCTCAGTATTGTTTTAGCCGAAACTCTGTCCGCTTTTTTTTATACGTCCATGATATTGAGCTCTTAAAAGCTGTTGGTGCAACTCTGCTTTACATGGTGGTAACGTAGACGGATCATAGTTTTTGACAGTTTTTTTGAAAGGCTCTTCCGTGCTCTTAGCTTTAAATGTCTTGCAAAATATTTCAAACCGTGCTATGTTTATATCTGCGATATTATTGACTATTATTATCATTATTTGATATTATTTCCGGCCTGTCATTTGATATATGGCATCTTATCAACACAATAATTATTGTGTATAGATCCCAGCTTGCCTCAAGTACATTTTTTGCGCAAAAAAAAATATAACTTTAAATCGCCTGTCACCATTTAAATCCCAACCAAATCGCCTGGCATTATGATATATCGTTTAATTAAACATCAGACTTTAAAATGCTGTAAGATTCAAAGTGCCTCAAGAACATTTTCTGCATGAGAAAAATTGCGAATTAAAAAATTCATAGCTCATTAACGCCCCGCAACCTCCCAGCCAGGTCGGCCATTTCATCATCCACACATTCGCAACTAATCAACAATAATATTTTCAATGTGCCTCAAGGATGTACTCAAAAATGGCTGTCAGCTCTTGGGGTATAATGTTTATGGAGTCCCAAAAAAGATATTCATCATTCTGTAGTTCATTTCAGTAAAAATAACCAATATAAAAAAAAGTATATAAAAAAAAAGTAAGTAAGTATATAAAGTCAAAAACTCCATTTTCAAGTTGCCGCGAAAACGTTTCTCTGGACAATATGGCGTCTTATTAGTGTGTGACGTCACACGACTGTTATTAAAACGTCAAACGATACAATGTAATGTCACTTTTTAAGGAAGTTTATTTGCGTGTGACGTCATTTTAGGCTCCAATCAATCCCAAGCGTTTTGCGTCACGTGATAGATAAGAAAATTTATGTGTTCCATTTTCGAATTATTATTTTTACAAATTTCTGCCAGTCGCATTGTAACTGTGAGTTCAAAAAGAAATGCATACGTACTACAGTTTGTATATCACTTTATTATTTTTCATTCCTTTCATTTAAAATGCTATGTTATTTAGCAAAACATAATCCTTATGTTTAACCTAACCCCTTCGATGGTTACCATAAAATACGTCGTGTTTTTTTTTGGAAATTGCATGAGTTTGATTCCCAGTTGTAACAGGCGATTTTAAAAAAAACTGTGAATGCAGTTCTAGTCATTATTAAAAATAAAATGATGTCTTCTTTCAGTAAAATATCCTATCTTCAATATTTAATATACTTTCCCTCCGTGTGAGGTAGCCGTGGGACGCCTGTATAGTGATGCTAGCGCATTTTTTATCTGAGGTCCCTAAGCGCAGCAAGATTCTTCGTCCAAGACAGAGAGCCATGGACAAGATAATCTCTGTAGCGTGTAGCCCATGGTTGAATGGAGTTTTTGGCGGGATTTCATCGAGGGCGGTTGGCGTCTTATTTCAATTATTCTTAAATTCGTTCATAGTGGATATTGTGAAATAAAATTGGTATGATTTTGTGTTTTAATTAATTCCACTAATTCTTCAGTTGCGCAGATGGTTGTTCCATCTGCGCAACCATTAGAATGCGTCACACCGACATACTAATGTAAAAAAAAAGATTAAGATTTGTATTTATTTAAACGAATACGACTGAAGGACTTGTATCCATGGTAATGAATTATTATTAAAAAAAAACATGTATGAATTGACCAAAGACTTTTGACACATATCATCTGATTTGCCAAGTTGACATTCTCATTTAGTGTTGCTTGTTATGAAAAAATATTGTTAAACCAGGGAAAATAAACATACTAATGTCTAAAATGTCTGTGAAAGTATTCTAATAAAAGAAAATTATTGAAAATTAAATACAGATACTTACTTATGTTTGAATTGATATTCATTAAATAAAACCTAAGAAACAAATATATTGATATTCATTGATATCGAATTTTTTTATCAAATATATGTTTTGACGACGCATTAAGCAATGTGTAAAGACATTTTCTTACGTTTAGGTCAAGCACTAAACGAGTATCAATTGATTACCATCAGTATTAAGCTAAAATAGAAAATTACTGGTGGTGATTCTGACATGATTCTCTAAACTTAAAGCTAAATTTAATATCGGTTTTTCCTTTTCATTCTGTTTAAAGAATGACAAGGATACACATTTAAGTTTAGGTTTAGAGAATCGATACCATTATCAGTTTAAATTTAGGACAGTTTCTGAATCGACGACCTTCATGGCCGCGTGGTTTGTACGCCGGGTTTCATGGTGTCGCCTACTCGAGAGGTCTCGGATGTCCCGGACGGTCCCCGGTGGGGGCAGATGTTTGTATGATGAATACGAGCATTTGTACTGCAGTCATGGATGATTAATATGTATTTCTTTAGAAATATACTTATATATGATGCTGTCAGCGAAAAAGTGGCCTAACCCTCAATTATTCATATTCTGATTAAGCAGCTAAGGCCACTTATGAAGTTAAGATGGAGAGAAAAAAAACAAACCAAAAAGAACGTTTGCAACGCCATCCATTGATGTCTGAGAAAACAAGTGATAGGCCGATTTGGAATTAAATTTTAACACATTTTTATTTAATTGTAGAAGATGAATCAGAATATGAGTGTTAGGCCACTTTTGCACAGACAGCCTCATATGTATAGTATATGTATTCTATCCGTTACCCTAGTATCCCATAAGACAAGCCTTATAGTGCTTACTTTGGACTGTGAGTGTAGGAAATATTTATTTATTTTATTTATTGGGATATTTTAATTTAATAAAATACAATATTTAGCCTGAGTCTGGCACGATCACTAAACCTAAAATTCAATTTTAAAGAGGTTCTTATCATTGTCTATATTGAATAAAAATGAGAAACTTGTCTTTCCTTTACTTTTGAGTATAGAGAAGCATGCTAGAATTAGGTTCATTATATTCCTTTTTCTGAGTGTGTACAAGCTTAGTATTAATTACAGTATCTTGGAATGTAAATGTAATGCAATGATGAACTTGCTTCAGGTTAGTACTTGTATTTGTGCCAAATTTGATAGACGTTTCACTTGACATTTAACTGAAGATATATTAGTTAGGTTAGGTAGGTAGGTACCTACCATAGACTGTTCAATTTTAAAGATTTGAAATGGAAGGCACGGTAGACCACATTTTTTTCAACTGTTAAAAACACTCATCTCTATATTCTCTACTTCCACCGAAAACTATACGTCCCGTTAACATTAATACAATTCTAACAATGACCGACAAACCTGGCTTTTTGTGTTTATGTAAGTATATAAAAATATACAACATCAAACTCTAACTTTTAATAACCTTTCTATTTTATTTGATAATAATTGTTTGCTCTTCCCATGTCATATAAATTAATATTGTTTAACCTGTGATGTCTTTGTGTATGTGTGTTGTGCTTTTAGAAAAGTGAAACGCTCAAGGATGAAAGTATATTCGGTTATTTACTTTGTACCACCATAATCTGCTTCCACCGAGAAGTCTTTCTCGTGTCCCTCTCACTACTGGACATTGGCGAAATTTCTGTGTAAAACGGAGAAGCCTTGTTGTGTAGTTTTGAAATGAAATAATTGAAATCTTAATAAATCTTAATATAATAATAAAAGTCATAATTTTGGACAGACTGAACACTGAACTAACAATTAAAATTACAAAAGCTTAAATCTACTTAAAAATTTAAATAAGAATTATCTTTAACTTACCCACCTCAATAAATACAATTTACAAAATAAAAAGTATATAATCCCCAACGCCGCTGTCAGGAATGGTGCACAATAAGGCTGGCAGCATTTCCTCGTTAGATAGCAAGGCTATTCCGGCGACCAAGCCTTGGTCACCAAGGTGGCTGCCAGCCTTTTGATCACCAGTCACCCCGATAAGTTTCTATATTAGTTTCTTTTAGGTTTGAGTTTTTAGGCAAAATAGTCCCATAATAATTTAGTGAAGATCTGATGAGTAGGTATTCTCGGAGAAAACAATGGAATTCCTCAATTACAAACAGTAGATACTCAATTGGTATTTCGTTATATTTTAAGTTTTTTGTGTTTAAAGTTTACCATCATAGCAACACATTTGGAATCTATAACGTGGTCTATAACTTGTATCCGAGTTTGATATCAAACACCCTGAACTCGCAAGACAGTCGCTTATAATATATTAAAAATTTAGCCGAGTTTTAGCATTTACAAAAAAATGATTTGCAGAGTTTAGCAGATTTCAATGAAGCTGCTAGTATAATGTCTAATTCAATGAAAAATTTAACGAATGAAAAAGATTGGCTGATGTTAAATTTAGTTTTAAGTTTAGAAAATCAATCCAGAATCTACACCACTTTGTGTCTAAGTGAATAATAGTGTCGATTCTGGCATGATTCTCTATACTTTAAACTAAATTTAGCATAAGTCTCTCCTTTTCATTCTGTAAAGAGAATGACAAGGATACACCGTTGTCTTTAGATTAAGTTAAGAGTATCATGCCAGAATCGACACCTATAAATACTTACAACTATTGTTTTTTTATTTGTGGGAAAATCTCCTTGCTTCTGGGAATTTTTGATTGTGGGCTGTTAACTGGAAATTCCTTTTTCGAGTCGAAAATAGTTTTGTTTGAGTGCTCATTGTTTATTGTTAATGTTCTTTTCTTATTTTTCTTACAAAAGTATGGTGCAAACATATGGATTTGTCTTCAGTTTTTACTAATATTAAATTTTCCATCATTTATCATAAACGATAGTGATATTATTAAGCAAAATGTCAAGTAGTTCCGTAGAAGATATTCCCGAGTGCAAAGTGAGTTGTTTATTTATTTACAATGACCAGTTTATATCTCCTACACAGTACAGTGCAGTCTTTCATTTTTCATATCTTTATGACTGTTATCTTGAATCCTAGATCTTACTCTTTATTTGCACTATAACCACAATATCCTTTTAATTTGTATGTTTACTAATTGCGTCATATAAACGAAGGTCAGCGTTTTACCAATTAAAATTAAATGGTAATGTGGCTCACATTCCTACGATATTATTGTTGTAGTATTTTATATTATATATTTTGTTTAATCCTGCTATAATATTGTATTTTTTAACTCAGGGTGCTTCCCTTGATAATTAAAACTATTATATATTTTAAATCATTACCTGTAATCTGTTGTAGTTGGCTAAACATGATTTTTATGAAATAGAATCAGCAATGTAAATTGTTTATTTCAGATTATTTATACAAATATTATATTACAATACATTAAAATAAAACAAACTTAAAAACTATCAGCAATTATGTTTAAATGATCCAACTTTTTTGAGCATGATGTTTTTAGAAAATAATACAATACTTAATGAGGGTATAAGAAAATATTTTATTCAACCAGTAATATGTAAAGCTTTTGTAAAATTCTTGTTTATGTTAACATCATTATTTTAAGTGTCCAACTCTGACATTATAAGATTTTTTCCAGTAGAGAGCAACCAGCCTACACAAAATTAGAAATATTTTTATTATTTAGCATAGGGTAACCTATTAATTTAGCTTTTCATAAACTGATGCTGTAAGTCTATTTGGCAGGACTTATTCACTCAAGATGGGGTACTCCTTAAAGCTTGCATCGGGCGTCCTGTCACAGACCTCAATTCAATTGGGATGTTATGCATAGTTCAGAATGGGGACAACACTAAATGTATTGAGTGGCGACCCAATGACTTGATCACAATTGATTCTGATACGCAGGACCAAGAATGGGCTGTGGTCAACACTATTGGTAAGGATTTAAGGATATTTAAATTGGTTTAAATAAATGATGGCTTAAATGAAAAAAGTAACAGGACAACTTAGAAACTGGTCTAAAACCCAACTTCATAATAACTTTTTGTGAATGCTAATATTCAGATTCAGAGTGTCTGAGATGTAGACAGAAATTGCTATAAAGTTATTTAAAGTGAAGTATAAAATGTCAACAAAGCATATACACTACAGTGGACAAATATTAACCTTTTTTAAATTTCAAGTAGTTCCTCAACTAAATTTTTCAAATAAAATTGACAATTCAATGAAGCCCTGGAACTCTACTCACCGACAGCAATTTAACACTACCAAAATGTAGTGTTATTTTACTGTGATCTGCTTTAAGGTGGAGATTCGAAAAACCATTATGCCCTACATCTCTTAAAAACGTAATTGAGGAAAGAGCCTTGACCCACAACGCGGGCCCAGTGCCAATTGGTGGCTCGAACAAAAAAAGCAATGGGACAATTTAAGAACTGGTCTAAAACCCAACTTCATAATAACTATTTATGGATGCTAATATTTAGATTCTGATATGTAGACATAAATTGCTTTAAAGTTATATTAAGTGAAGTATAAAATGTCAACAAAGCATGTGCACCACAGCTGCAGTAGACAAATGTTCACTTTTTTGTAAGAAGTTGTTCCTCAATTAAATTATTCATATAACATTGCTTAATTTTGTTGATCTTATGAGTCATTGTTGGCAAACATTATCAATTTTAGATTAATTGATTGCATATTTTCTAACATTAAATAAAAAACAACTTTTGAATAGCTTACAACTGTTTTTAAAGTGGAAACTTCTTTAGTATCGTTGTGATTTGAGATTCAATGAAACGGAAGTAGAGTATTTAACTATTCATTCCAATGATTTGATTATTCTCAAGTGTTGTACTCTCCCAAACGTCCCATAATACTTGAGTGTCATAAAAGTTTTTCCTGTAAGTGTATAAAAATGCAGTGCTCTCTGAACTTTACCTTTTTTTACTTCAGTTTGAAATGACCTCAATTTTGTTTATTTGCATTACAATTAAAAACCTACAAAAATGTGAACACATCAGTCCTTCAGCCGCCCGCGGCTTTATTTGTTACCAGCTATTTTTACCCGGCTGCGCAATGCAAAAGCGCGAAGCGCGACGCGCAGACAGGGTTATGTGTTTAACAGTCTATATATGTATGTTTGTTCCTTTGTGGCACACTAGAGACCAAACGCCTGGACCGATTTTGATGATTCATACATCAATCGATTCGTCTCAATCATGGGAGTGCTACTAAAGATATGATAGTAATCAAAATTCAATATGGGCAAAATTAGGCGCCATATTGTGACGAAGTAAAAAAAATAAGTTGACAAAATATGTCGAGTGGGGTATCACTGTCTAGATAATCAAAAATCATATTTAGGTTCCTAACACCATTTTTCATTTTACATGATTGTTTAGGATCTACAACGCTTTAAAGTTGTATATTAACCACTGACGCTTTTAATTTCAATCTTACATTTGTATGGATCTTTGTTACTCTTTCACCTAAAAAATACTGAATGGATTTTAATGAAACTTAACAGTAATATAGCTCATATATAATAATTACATATATATAATAATTTATGTAGTTATTGAGTGAATTGGCCAATATATAACAATAAGTGTCACATAAGACGGAAAAACATCTCCCATCTGCGAGCTATTTTGGCCTGCACTGCGAAAACAATAAAAGTTACATGAATGTAATGTAGAGTGAAAATGTATCTCTTAAATAGTTCTAAAAAAAAGTCCGTGACACCATATATCTATTTTTAATGTGTAAGTCATTACCGCTAAAATAGTGAATCAAAACTAAAATATTATTTGATATCTATTTCCAAAATGCACATTTATATTAACAAATCATTTTTTATCCAAACAAATACTTTTATCGCTTTTGATATTTAAAGACGATAAACTTTGCTTTTTACACTATGTCATTTCGACAAATATTTAAAAAGTTACAACGATGACAAAGTGATAGCGCGGTGTTCTATGTAAAAGAAAAAAATGGGCTATTCGCAGTATATGATCCTATACGAAGCACTAACAATAAAATTGTGATACAGTTCCTTCTTATTAAATGATGAAAAATATATTATCATAACAGGTATTTATGACTATTGAATTTTAATGAAAAACTCTGAATTTTACTGTTTTTAATTTTTTTAACGATATTACTTAATGTTACAAAAAAGGTTTACATAATATAATGACAAATAACCCATTTCTCGCTAGTAAGAACATACTTATTGGAATCCCTATATTATTAATCAGCTCGCGATAATTTTAGTTTTGTAATAATTCTTCAAAATTCAAAGTAAATAATGTAGATTTTTATAGGTAAATCACCCCTTTCATCACCCTACGCCAATAAGTATTGCGATGTTGTAGCTAAGAACCAAGTTCCCATCTACTTCTATATGGGAATTCATTATATTCGATTTAGTTATTAGGGCACGGAAGCGCAACAAACAAACTCACTTTCACATCTATAATATTATATTATACTTACTAGTGATCCACCCGGGCATTGTACGGGCGAAATTTATTTATCGGGATGAAATATAGGCTATGTCACTCGGACAAAATGTATTTAAATAAAGAAAAATGTAATAATAAATAATGTAGCTACCTTATGATGAATTAATATTTGAAACCGGTTCAGTAGTTTGACAGATTATTTGTTATAAACATACAAATCTTGCCTCTTTATAATATTATTTTATATAGTTAGGATATGATAAGTATTTAATTGATGAAAAAGATTTAAAAATAAAGTAAGTAATAGGTTTATTTGATTATAATTGTAAAAGTTACTTAGCATTTGTGCTTAACAGTGATACGTTACTCGGTATTTTTTTAAACAAAAAAAAAATTTGGAAAATAATTGCCATTGCTTTGGTGATTACATAATTATTTAATTTAGTGATCTAAGGCAGTTGCCACCATTGTCCAAAACAACAAACGGGAATTACTGATTTCTTCAACCTGCGACATAAACGTCATTGATTGGTATTATAGGGTGATTAAAAACATTTGAAGTTAACGTCTGGCATCTACATATTGGGTTTCTGTGAATTATGTGGGCATATCAAATTATGAGACTAGGGACTGACACTGCATTTGTGTATATCACAATCTTAGACGTCCGGCATTGACATGACAATGCAGCCACTGCCAATTTTAAATAGTCGACGAATAAAAGGAAATGAATTTTATATTTACTGCTAAACTATTAAAAAAAACATAAACAAAAGATGACTTTTTGAGTAAGTGCTAGTTTACTATAAAATTTACATACATTAGAGATATTTATGTAACAACTTGATTTAACTTCACACATTTTTGCGAAAATTGAGGCTCATCTGTAGCCTTGACCCCGCTGGTAAAGTCTTTATATGTCTTAATAAATCAATCTTTTAGACCGACGCAAGGTATTTAATAATTCCCGCGATATTAATTCCCTTACTGAAGTAACAAGACTACGGTATATACCGTCTTAAAATACTAACTAACTAAAAAGTGTGAAATAAAAAAGGTAAATTTAAAAAATCAAAAAACCCGACTGCTTAGTTATACTTCAAATAAAAACTGAAAAGAAAAAAAACAAGTCCAGTAGTCTATAATTCTGTTAATAAGGAACAAAGCTACTTTAACAGCCGGGACCCACTGTTGAAAAATATTATGTATTCTTGAATATCTAATGGGTCCCGACTGTTAAAGTAGCTTTGTTCCTTATTAACAGAATTATAGACTACTGGACTTGTTTTTTTCTTTTCAGTTTTTATTTGAAGTATAACTAAGCAGTCGGGTTTTTTGATTTTTTAAATTTACCTTTTTTTATTTTATTTCTTTTGTTATGTTTTTGCTATCTTGGGTTTTTCGAAATATTGATTTATAAAAAATTAATTTAAAAAATTGTAAACATTGGAAAAGTAAGGAATGTTGATAAAAACCAACCCTGTATTAATAAAAAACTTAAGCACCTACCAAACGTTTAATACTTTCTTTTTTTTTTGATTTTGTAAATTACTGGGCAAATTTAAATATTATATACTTATGTTTCGAAAAATAAATAATAGCTTAATGAAAGAAAAAAGACAATTAAAAAAATTACAGAGCTCAGGATCGTGCCACCAATCATTTGGTGCCGAACCCACAACCGATGTCTTGTATCTAATACTGTACTTCCGTTTCATCGAATCTCAAGTCACAACAATACTAAAGAAGTTTTCACTTCAAAAAATCTTTCTGTCCAGGTTTCCCTAGATTCTATCATCCAGCAGTTAAATGTCCAATAAATAAGTTATAATAAGTAATAGTTAAAATATTGGTGAGCTACCACCTAAATATTATGGATATTATATGGATTCATTTGCTATGCTTTTTACATAAAAACAGGCCGCCGACAACGTACATTGAGTGGCAACATGACGTCTGACTACGCAACCGCTCGCGCACGCATAATACGGATACCACTCGAGGATCTGAAGACGTTTCGCGTTACCAGGAACAATCAGCAGATGCAGTTCTCCACAAAACCAGGCGTGTGGCAGAACACGTTCTACTTCCAACATGGCAACGCGGAGATCTTCGTCGCGTCCCTCAAGAACCATGTGAAGACCGCGAAGACTCGACATGACAGGAACACTTACGTTGTTGTCGAACCGAATACGGAAAGTCAGGTGCTGAACAAGTCTTTTGCAGAATTGGACATATTCACGGAGAACACTACTGATGTAGTGTGGAACCTCGTGTCTAACTTCAAGCAGAGACCTTATGAGACGACCTTGGAAGCGTTTTCGAAGCTAACCGACATAGGTAAGCATTCTCATTATTAACGACATCTATCCTATCATCATCAATCTACAATCGGTCAATCATCATTGTCCGTTCATACATTCATTTCATACCCATTTGTTACTACATTCACTCAGGCATTTGTTGAAAATTTGCTGCTGCCCACAACTTAGTCCTCGTTAACTTTGGTTCCTTGAAAATCTAAAATTTTTCGGGATAAACAGTATCCTGGCTCAAAATCATACTATATGCATAACAAATTTCATCCAAATCCATACAAAACAAACATAGAAACACACAATGATACATACTTTCGCATTTATAATATTAGGAATTAGTAGGATGACAAATATGAATGCGCCAGCTTTAATTCTTCTGACGCCCGCCAGTGAGACTGTCTGAAGTACATATTTAAAACTCTTGTAGTAGGTATAGGCTAAAATTGTTCCAGTTTACTACGGCAATGAAGGCGTGAACGGCAAGCGTGATGTGTCCGAAGAAGTGGCTGATCTGTTGACCAAGAGTATGAGTGCCTTGGAAGACGCGACGACAGTGACGAAGAACGATGAATACGAGGTTATCACCGTGAAACCTACACTGCCTCCTCGCCCTAGTATACCCAGGTAACAAAGGCGAATAACTAACGAATCAGTTTTTTTTAATGCTTAATAGGCAAGGCGTTTGACCACAATCTCGTCTGATGGAAAGCGATGATGAGGCCTAGGATGGTACACGATTGCCTAGAAGATGCCTGTTCACTCTGGCCTTGAAGATATCCAGATTATATTGGTCCGGGAAAACAGACTAGTTCGCATAATGAAAGCGGAAGCAAATCGCTTCGTGCGAATGGGAGGAACATTGACTACATTATATGGATGCATTACTCTAGGCCGCTAAAACATTGTTCCAAACTCATACAACTAAACGTTAAAACTAACGTGACATGCACACAAACAAAACAAAATACTTTGACAAATCAAATTTCTGCAAATGAATTCGGCTATCCGTTCATTGGTTAGGATGTTAAACAGAAATTCCAACCAATCCCAAGTTCGGCTTGTTGATCGCAGTTTTTACGCCCCGCCCACATGATCGCAGTTTCCGTGGAAACTTTTTAGCGCAGTTCGTATTCCATATAATTTCTAATTCATTGCTAATAGCTTAAATTATACTTTCAATATCGTAGGGTGCTAGTACAAATTTGAGGCCTGGTATTCAGGACAACATAATTTTTAATTTGATTGGAAGCCAAGCCTCTTGAATATTCCAGTCTTATTTTCCTACCACACGGTCAGGACTTGTTTTAGCTGTCAATTGTGATAAAGAAAGTACTCTAAATAAAATATAACTACAAATAATTCCACGCGGACCAGGCAGCAGACGGGACTCGAACCCGCACCCTTCGCTATCCGGGCGAATGCACTGACCAATGATGCTACCGTGGCCCTCACGGACCGTGTCGGAATTCTTCTAGCCATCTTAAGTTGCAAAGCAGCGCCATCTCTTCGCGTTGTAGGTAACCCACAATGTCAAATGAATACTTTTACAAGGTATTAAACATTTGAAAGAAGAAATAGCAATTATAGTTATAATTTGCAGCTTAAGATGACTAGAAGAATTTCGACGCGGTCCGTGAGGACCGCGGTAGCATAATTGGTCAGTGCGTTCGTCCGGATTGCGAAGGGTGCGGGTTCGAGTCCCGTCTGCTGCCTGGTCCGCGTGGATTTTTTTGTACTTATATTTTCTTTAGATTTAAACATCAAGCAGTTACATGCTTTAAAATAATAACAATAATATGAAAGCACTCCACAAACTCGTTTCCATGAAGCAGTATGACACGTCATGCGGTCCGCGTAGTATTGCGGTGGGACTGGTTCATTGTGCGGAACCAATAGTGACGGACGAATTGTCTGTTCATTTGCATACTTTGATATATTCTCTTTGTTTTGTAAAGTTATCAGCTCGTGCATATTACGTTTTTACTTCAATGGCAGTCTACCATGAGAATCACTGTTAGGACCACCGACAACACAGCCTCTAGACGCCTTTTTTTTTTATTACGCAGGTAAAAAATGCTATTTACAGACGACGGCGCCTTTAAGAGGCACACCGCCGATCGGACCTCACACCTGGCTTCCGCAAGTCTTACGGGCGCCCCAGTGGCTGTCCACCGAGGACCCCGCAACTCTTACGGGTGCTTTACGGCATAATATCCGCTAAAAAAGTCCTGCGAATACCCTCTAAGCTGCATAGCGCGAAGCCGCGGGATCCCCGTTTAGGGATTCCTCCGCGTCTCCGCACCTAGCAGCCTCCCGGCCTAGCCGGGGCTCCACGGCAGGGGTCTCCCGTCGTATCACGGGGACCCCGCAGACGTGCGCAGGTAGGCCCGCTCGTGGGGGCTGAGTACGCGGCCTAATGCCCACCGTACCGCCCCCCGTCCGCTGCGGAGGGCTATTTGGGCGTGCCCGTATAGCTCCCTCCGCAATGGTAGGTAAATATACCTGACAAACACATCTGACTTATAAATCAGATAAAAAATTCCTGCTGTGAAATATTCAATCGGTGTCGACCACTTTCGTGACATGTTGACACGCGTTTGGAGTGCAAAAATAGTCCAAAATGGCTCCTTGTACTATCATCATATCATTTACTTACATTATTTTATTATGGTTTGAATTGGGGCACCCGAAGCAATATTTACAATGGAATACGGACTGGAAGACGGTGCCGGGCAACGAAAACTATACGGGCGTACTCGACTCCTTTCATTTACATTTAGTCTTAGATTAAAACAAAAAGGGTAGATAGGGTACGCTCCTACTTGCATCGAACAAAAAGTGATCCCACGGCAGTGCGAACGGGACGGCGAGATCTGCGTCACTGCATTACCGACCCGAACGAAACAGCACGTTAAGTTTCAACGGCAGCGCGAACGAGACGGCGAGATCCGCGTCACTGCACTACCGACCAATCACGCGACCAGTACTCGACGTCACTACCGAATAAGATTCAAAACAAACAACAATTTTTATGAAAAAATATATTTTATAGTACTTATGAATGAAAAGTGATGCTATGTGTTTTATTTTTAGTTCTTGAGCAATTTGAGCACTTTTGAAAAACACACTTAGGCATTGTTTTATCATATAAACACAAATATTAGCAATATTTCTTTTTGGCGTTCACATGTTCGTCGTTTGCATGTCAAGTTGTGACTAAAGCGATTAGGGTCGTGGACCACAATTTAGGCGGATCACTTTTGTGAGGCTAGTGCCGTATCTACCCTTTTTGTTTTAATCTAAGCATTTAGTCGTTTACCCGAATTCCATTGGCAATCGTATTCGGGCTAACGATCAAGTCTAATTGAGCCATTACGTCCTTCTATTAGCCAATCAAGGCGCAGTCTCGTCTTGCCACAGGCAGTTTCCAGAATGCATTTAGTAATGAAATTATAACGTTAGGCGTTTAGGGGCTTTGATGTCGCTGGTTGGGACTCACTCACATGAGAAGCTTCTAGAATTAACTTCGCGTTTAGAACGAATACTCTAATTCAACGAAAAACGAAATTTCGATAGAAACTACGCACTTTTCTTACTATGTTTCTGGTTCGCTATTTATTATAATTTTTATTCGTCGTCGGAATATAGATTGAGGTGTAGTTTTTCTAAGGCTACTAAATATAGCTTCAATAGGGTATTTGACAGTATTAAAAATAAATTGCCAATTGTTATCATCTGTATTTAGAATGATTATTGCCAGGAGTTTTTACTAATACGATAAAGATAATAGTTTTCTTGTCTATTGTCACGTGACCCAAAAGGTTTGGGATTGGTGGAGCCTAAAATGACGTCACACGCAAGTAAACTTCCGGTTAAAGTGACAGTTGATTGTATGGTTTGACGTTTTAATGACAGTCGTGTGACGTCACACACCAGTGAGACGCCATATTGTCCAGAGATACGTTTTTCGCGGCAGCTTGAAAATAGAGTTTTTCATTTGGTTTTTTTTACCGAAATACACATCATGATGATGAATATCCACTTTTTATGGACTCTATAAACATTAGTAAATAACGTGAGATCGTTTTCTAAAACTTGTCAAATACCCTATTTGATAGTTTATCGTTCATATTAAGTATAACCTAAAATTGACGAAACCATATTTCGTTTAAACTTCGCTATCGAAAGTTCGTTTCGGAGAAAGAGAGTAGACACGTAGACCCCCTGGTGTGAGGAACCCTTATATATTTTAATTATTATCAGGGGAACACCTCTGTCTGCTGAAAAGTGGGAAGGCCTACAGGACACCGAGGGTCGCGTCACAGAAGTTGAAGGCGTGAAGCAGCTGATATTTAGAGGGGTGAGTTGCTACGATACTGTTAGCAGTCATCATCATCATCAGCCTATTAATGTCCCCACTGCTGGGGCACAGGTCTTCCCTATGGATGGGAATAGGGAGATTGGGCCCTGATCCACTAACGGCTTAACGTGCCTTCCGAAGCACGGAAGAGTTCGAGATGGCAATTTTTTTATCACCCATCCAATGACCGACTACTGCGCAAGTTGCTTAACTTCAACGATCGCAGCCGAACGAGCTAACCACTTGCGCTATCGTTACATCAGTGCGTGGTAAGAAATCACAGGTCTTTTAATGTTAGTAAAATTAATGGAGAAAACAAGCATATTATGACGGGTTCATGACAAGCAGCCACCATAACCTATAGATACTTGTGATACAAATTACTAACCACTACCACTAACTTAAAACATCATCATCATCATCATCAGCCTATTAATGTCCCCACTGCTGGAGCACAGGCCTTCCCTATGGATGGAATAGGGAGATTGGGCCATGACCCACCACGCGGGCCCAGTGCGGATTGGTGGGTGCTAACGACTGCAGATGCAGCTGGATTGGTCCCGACCAACGGCTTAACGTGCCTTCCGAAGCACGGAGGAGCTCGAGATAGTAAATTTTTTGGTCACCCATCCAATGACCGACCACATGCGAAAGTTGCTTAACTTCAACGATCGCAGCCGAACGCGCTACTCACTTGCGCCATCGAGCTCCTCAACTAACTTAAAATATCACTTACTTTTTGCTTACTCTGATAAGGGTTGCCAGATACTGGCTTATCAATTCCGGGACATTTGCACCCATCCCCTCCTGAGAAAATAAAGCATCAAATCAAACCTCCCAACACCCCCCCAGAATTAAAACATCAAGTTGGTGTCATTCGTTATTAATTTATTTTGTTACGAAACTAGCACATTATCGGAATCCGGGACAATCCCAGAAATCCCGGTCATCTGGCAACCGTAGCTCTGACCCTATCTGTTTTACGCAACAGAATTAAATATGTCCACTTGTTATGGACTCCATAAACATTAGTAAATAAAGTGAGATCGTTTTCTGAAACTTTTCAAATACCCTATTTAAGCAACAATCTATTGTGCACCTCTAAAAATGTCTCTTTGTTGACCTGATGACATTAATTAGGCTCTATAGCTATTAACGGGATTGTTACCATGTACCATGATTTTTGCGTAACATTCACCATCCACGCGGACCAGGCAGCGGACGGGACTCGAACCCGCATCCTTCGCTATCCGGGCGAATGCACTGACCATTATGCTACCACGGCCCTATTAGCCGCGTCGAAATTTTCCTAGCCTTAAGCTGCAAGGCAGCGCTATCTCTTCGCATTGTAGGTAACCCACAATGTCAAATGAATACTTTTTCAAGTATTAAACAATTGAAAGAAGAAATGGCAATTATAGTTATGATTTTATTTATTTTTTAAGCATTTAACTGCTAGATGTTTAAATCTAAAGAAAAGTTTACTAGAAAAAAATCCGAAACAATCCGAAGAGATAGCGCTGCCTTGCAGCTTAAGGCTAGGAAAATTTCGACGCGGCTAATGGCTAAGGCCGTGGTAGCATAATGGTCAGTGCATTCGCCCGGATAGCGAAGGATGCGGGTTCGAGTCCCGTCCGCTGCCTGGACCGCGTGGATTTTTTTCTAGTAAACTTTTCTTTAGATTTAAACATCTAGCAGTTAAATGCTTAAAAAATAAATAAAATCATTCACCATCCAGTTAATAGCTATAATGTTATTGACCATGAAAATTTAAAACAATTGAAAATTAAATAGGCTTTTTTATCTTGTAAATAATGTTTCAAATTAATACAGAAAATGTTGATGACAGGGTGTTGCGCACTCAATACGACAATCGGTATGGAAGTACCTATTGGACTACTACCCGTGGCATATGACGCACTCTGAACTACGAGCTTTGCACAAAAAGAAGACCGAAGAATATTTCTCCATGAAGCTGCAATGGAAATCCATGACCGAAGGCCAGGAAGCGAGGTTCTCAGAGTACAGAGACAGGAAGAGTTTGGTAGAAAAGGATGTCAATAGGACTGATAGGACACACCCTTTCTTCGCTGGTGATGACAATCCTAACCTGGTGGTGCTAAGTGATATATTGATGACATACGTGATGTATAACTTTGATCTGGGCTACGTGCAAGGAATGAGTGATATATTGGCACCGTTGCTGCTGCTATTGGGGAATGAAGTGGACAGCTTTTGGTGTTTCGTCGGATTCATGGAGAGGATAGTGAGTATTTATTTATTTATTGCATATTACATTCACAGTAATAAGGTGGTACAGAAAAATACAGTAACCATGTGACGCCCTGCAAGGGCACAGCAACTTTAGAGGGTTATTATCTATTTAAAATACATTATTATAGAATTGCACAATATAATTTATGAATTAAGATTCAATCATTCAGTCATTCTGAACATACATTAGCGTCAATTCTAGCATGACTCTCCAAACCCAAACCTAAAATCGACAACAGTGTATCCTTGTCATTCCCAATACAGAATGAAAAAGTTTAGAGAATCATGCCAGAATCGACAGCATTAATTCATTAAAATATTATTATTTTGTTCTTCATTTAAATACATTATTAATAAATTAATTCTTAAGAGTTTGAAGCATCCCATTAGCTGGCATTGGTATTAAACTGCTTTACTAATTAATCAATAAAGAGAATTTTACTAGAAAAAAATACCACGCGGGTTCGGCAGCAGACGAGACACGAACCAGCACCCTTCGCATTCCGGGCGAATGCCTTGACCATTATGCGCTGCCCTAATGGCCGTGTCGAATTTCTTAAAGTATTTCTTAGGCTGCAAGGGAGCGATATCTTTTCGCATTGTAGGTAACCCGCAATGTGAGACTCTTATATAAATACGTATTTTCACTCGAAAACTAGCTTTTATAAAGTGGCGGTAGGTGAATGTAAAGTATTATGTTGATATTTCAAAAACTAAAATATTCTTGGTACATTTTCAAATGCCAGTTTTAACCGTGACAAAACTGACGTGTCCGGTCGGTACCACTTTTTTCAACTTTTTTGGAAATGAAACTGTATTTAAATGAAATAATAAATTATAAACTTCCAACGACGATACGCGACTCAGTGTATTTCCAAACGCTACCAAAAACTGCTATGCTATCCCAGTAGAAAAAAATACAGAATCGCCTTCAAACATAGAAAAATAGTTGGGTCCCCTAGTACCCTAGTCCCCTAGTACTCGCATTTTTTAAACACCAAAGTGTTTGTTTAAAATGGTTATTATTTTAATATTAACGCAAAGTAGTAAGATTTTGTTCAAAACCAAACAATTAAACTAGCTCAGAGTATGATTGATGCATTTCAGACATTAAAATTATTGTTGAGATATTTTTTTTACTTTTTATTGAACTTCAAACACGTATGCTCAAAAGTACGCTGTACACTTTTTTTGGAAAACGCTCTTCAACGTATGTCCGGTTTATTATTATTTTCAACATACAACAAAAGATACGAATAAGAATCACACCAATATTATAAAGGCGAAAGTTTGTGAGAGTGTGTTTGTTAGTTCTTTACGACTAAACAGCTGAAGCGATTTTAATAAAATTTGGTATGGAGTTAGCTGACACCCTGGATTAACACAGGCTATGTTTAACTGCAGGAAAATATCCCTAATAACCACGGTTAACACCGCGGGGCACCGCCAGTCATATATATATTAGGTTGATTTAAAATACTTGGCGTGAATCATCATCATTGTTTGGTTGTTACGATTTAATAAAAAAAGGTGCGTGCGCAATCAGGTTTATAGAGGTAAGATAAAGACACAATTTTATCTCGTTTCTTATAATTGGTTATCAATTTTATATAGTTTTGCTGAAACCTGGGGCACAGAATATATACACTACGCGAAAAGAAGCGACACTTAAGCATGTGTGCTCGTAAAATCGCCCGCGGCTATGTGTGGGTGTCTGGAGATGCGCGGGGGCGTTGCGCGGCGCGCGGGGCGTGGAGAGTCGAGTCGACTGCCTCGACCGAAGGCATGGCAGTAGCGAAATAGTAAAATAATAGCGTTGCACTGCATTGCACGCACAGACTGACTACGCTACGCAATCTTATTATTATTTAGATAATAATAAGAATTATAAAACGAATCGAAAAAGGAGAAAATATATAAAAGTTAGCAATTTGTTATAGTACCTACATTAAAAGATTAAAAATTGATTATAAAATCAAACCTATCCTTCATTATTTACCCCAGTATCCTTGAATCAGTTTACATTTAATAACTTACTATGCATAAATATTTATTGGCACAAGTCTAAATACCAATTCGGTTCAACCCTAGTGCATACACGCTCCTGCTCAAGGTTACTGACGCTGGAACTCTCACGTACAGAGTGTCACCGCTGTGCCTGGGGTCTAATTGTGTAGTAACCTTTGCCTTGATATTGACTCATTTGTAGGTTGCAAATAAAAAAAATATCGTAATGATAAGAAAAACATTGTTTTATTAATAGTTTAAAATTGATCTTATCGCTTTCTTTATCTCGTTCAATATCTAATAACAAGCGCCCAAGAGGTACAATACTAAAGCCTGTTTGTACATTTGAGATATTGATATCAATGATAATTTTCCGATATGTCTTTCCGAAGTATCCTTTATATCATTCGGCTGAATTCATTTTAAAGATATATAAAATTCAAAAAAAAAAAAAAAAATTCAAAATTCAATATCGTTTATTCAGTCTAGGCTGTTACAAGCACTTGTGAATGTCGAAAAGCTACGCCATCGGTTCGCAAAACTACGGCGGGAGACCTTGTACTGAGAAGAACCGGCAAGAAACTCAGCAAGGGCTGCTTTTTTCTCCCTGTTTTATTTCATACAGTGTCGTCCAATTGAAAGTTGACATCAAACTTGCAAACATGTGTTGAGGTCAACTTCCATCACATAATGTCAAATATGTAACAATCAATGAATTTACTAACAATAAGTGCAAAGATAAGTCCCAAAATAGCAAGAAACAATTTTCAAAATAAAATGAACAAGTATATGAAAGGGAGTAAGTGCAAGGTTCTCTTCAAAACTCTTTCTAAGGCTGGGAGCCTTAGTTTAACTTTTGAAAAATTATCTACAGGTAAAATTACAACCAGGCCGTTTTATCATTCAAATATTGATTGACAGTATAATATCCTTTCTTAAGTAAACAATTCTTAATGTGTATTTTAAATTTATGAGGAGGCAAATCAAGGATATCAATAGGAATCTTATTATAGAAATGTATACCTTGACCCATAAATGATTTATGAACCTTCTGTAACCTGTAATTTGGTATCTTGAGTTTATTTTTATTCCTTGTATTAAAAGAATGTATGTCACTGTGTTTTAGATAATAGTTCTTCTTCTTCTTCTTCTTGCTACGGGCGTTTCCGCAACTCGACGTCCTTATGGCGCCTGTTTTGCGTGAGGAGGGTGTATGGCCGGAATCACTCCAGCCAGCCCAGCTCCCCCAGGAACGCCCCCAGGGCCTTCACATTGGTGACTGCCTCTTGAAGATAATAGTTAATATTGCTTCTAGATAATAGTTAATATTGCTTCGAACAAAAAGTATGCAATTATAAATGAATTGAGAAGCAACAGTCAAAATCCCGATTTCTTTAAATTTTTCTCTAAGAGATGTTCTAGAACTAAGTTGATACACTTTTGAATGTTTTTGAGTACCTTTTAACATAATCAATGAAACCCTGAGAGTGATTGTACTTCCTTAAGTAGTACAAATCATAAAGTTTATTTCTGCTCTTATAAATACCAGACGTAGCCCAGTCACAGAAGTTCAACTTTTGAGTTAATTTCAAAGTTTTAAGCGGAAAAGCCTTATCGAATTCTTTCTTAACCAAAGTGAACATATTGCCGTAAAGAATATTAGGATCCTCATGTGTCCATGGCATTTGAAACATTTTATCATCAATATTGTTTTGAAATTTTTCTAAACGTTTATTTGTTACTGGTCTTAATTCAATGAATTTGGGCTTAGTAGTGTCATTTGTATTATATGTTATTTTTAAGCCGTAATGATCTGATGTGATACAATTAATAATTGATTTACTAACTGGATTATAATCAGTAAATATATTATCCAAACAAGTAGCTGAATGAGATGTTACTCTAGTAGGCTCAAAAAATTGATGTACCAAATTAAAACATTTGAATAGTGATGTTAGGCGAATTGACATTGAATTATTTTCAAGAATGTTAATATTGAAGTCACCAACTACAATCAAAAACTTTTTTTTAGACTTTAACTTTTTTAGAACATTCTCCATCACTGATTCAAAAACACCAATGTTGCCTAGAGGGGGTCTGTATACACATACTATAATAAATTCACTGAATTCAACACAGGATAGCTCAATAATACGTTCTACTGAGAGGCCAACTATGTCCTTCCTATCCCTAGTTTTTATATTTTTATTTACAAAAATTAATGTGCCACCGTGTATAGCTGCAGTACGAACATATGCACTTATCATTTGAAAATTCTTTATGCTAAAAGACACCTCAGAAGACTTAAGCCAGTGTTCAGATAAACAGATAACATGAATATCCTGGCTCTTTGCAAATAGTTCTAATTCTAAATCTTTGCCAGCCAACCCTTGAATATTCTGATAAATAATATTAATTTTGTTGGATTTGGCTGTTGTCGTACCCCTCAGTTTAAATTTGAGTTGGTCACCCTATTTTCTAAATTAATAATTTTATTAGTGCTGACACTAAAACAATCCAGTTGCATAGACTTTGTTATACCATGTATAACTGAGTTTTGTATATTAAAAGCTAACAAAGTAGCTATCTGAGTCTTATATTTTTTTGCAAGATACATAGTATCTGTGGTCAAGTTAAATTTACTAATATATTTATTTATATCAAAATATAAAAAATTGTCACTATGACTATTTAATAAATTATAAATTATTAAATTCAAATTAAAGATGCGCTTGTTTTGTTCCCTAGTTAAATTTTCTGCATATGGGAAAGCGCTTATTATTATTTTACACTTGCACCTAGACTGATAGTTAAGTAGCACCTCTATATTTCTATACATATCTCTTGCTCTTATTTTAGAGCTGTCACCACACATAATAACTATGTTTGTCAAACTGTCCGCATCATACTGATTCAGTTCACTTACAATGTCATTTATTGATTTACCTGGCATACATATATTAGTAATTCTTTCATTACAATAATTCCTTAACATTAATCCAAAGCCGCATCCTAACTTATCCGAGAACATAATTGTTTTACTTCTAGTTGTGTTCTCAGATAGCACTGGTTTGAAAGGAGAGGTACTATATGTAGTGCAGATTGACCTCACAGGGGAGTTGTTATATGTTTTGCAAGTTGACCCAGAACAGACAGATGAACCACCAAAATTTTTAACTGTTTGAGAATTATTATTATTATTAACAACCTCTATAATTTCAGATGATGTTGATTGCAAGGAAGATTGATTTAAAGAACTACTTAATTGATTTTTTACTAAAGACTCATAACGTTCTGCATTGTAGTTGCATAGTTCAACTAATTCTGAAGCTGATTTTATATGCTCACTTATTTGTTTTTGTGCATTTGAATATTTGTTAGATAATGTTTCTAGTGACTCATGTAAATATTGAATCTCTAAATGTAATTTCTTTGTATCACTGTCGTACACCTGCCTACTCTCAGTCAACTTTGAACTATATATATCTATAGAATCAATAAGGTCCATTCTTTCCTTCCTTATAATTTAGATGATAATCTCCTTCTGGACATGTTTGTTACATAATATGTATAAAGATATTTGACGACCTCCGTGGCCGAGTGGTTTGTACCAGGGAAAGTAGCGGAAGTAAATTTATCGGAACCAAAGTCGGAGACGGAGTTTATTTGATTCATCGGAGTGTTTGATTTATGTGAATGAGGCATGAGAGCCTGCGCTGTGTTATGGCGCGATTACATTTGGTCGTTCGCCCGGATACGACTGCTAATAGAATAGGCTAGTTGACGCTTTTTGGAAAAAGGTTTTAAATGGTTAATAAATGTTCTATTAGACCGAAAAAAAATGTATTGTATTTTTTGAGACTTAGAAATCTACTAATCTTTAATTTTAAAATAGACTTTTCATGGACATACAAAAACGCTGTCGGCCATTTTAGTCTATAGACTATCTATGCTATGACGTCGACGGTAGTAAACAAAAACTCGTAAGCACGTAGAAAATAACCTATCTGAATTTAAAATAAAAAAAAACATGATTTCCAATAGATACCACGAAAAATATAGTAATTATCATTATTGTATTGTACGAAATGTAAAAACACATCCTTGAAGACTCCAGGAAAGTTGTGGATTAAAGTGCCGAAAGAAATTAACATACTATGCCTGGTTAGAACTTGCTAAAAGGGATCCTGCAACTTTATCGACTCATAGTAAAATTTATTTTTGCTAACATCGCTTTGATGTAAGTACTCATTGAATAATATTTAAGTCTCTTCATTTATTATCAGTTTTAATAATACAAGTTATAAAGTTATGTATGAATGACATTTAGTTGTTTACTAAAAGAGACGTCACAATCATGGCGGATGTGGCGAACAGCGTTTTTAGTGTTTACAAAGTATAGACTAAAATATTTTTTTGAAATTAAATTTCTACAGCAATCTTCTGCTTTTATGAAGTGAAATCGATATATTTAGGTTCCTTAGACCAAATTATTTAAGAAATAAACATTTATTTAATACAATTCGACATGAGTCAACTAGCCTATTCGGGTAAACGACTAAGTGTATATGAACGGAGTAGAGTATGCCCGTATTAGGGTAGGTTTCGTTTTGGTTGCCCGACACCGTCTTTCAGTCCATATTCCAGTGTAAATATTGCTAGTAAAAAAAAATAACTATAATTGCTATTTCTTCTTTCAAATGTTTAGTACTTGTAAAGGTATTCATTTGACATTGTGGGTTATCTACAAAGCGAAGAGATGGCGCTGCCTTGCAACTTAAGAAAAGCAAGAAAAAATTCGACACAGCCGTCAGGGCCGCGGTAGCTTAACGGTCAATGCATTCGTCCGGATAGCGAAGGGCCTGGTCCGCGTGGATTCTTTTCTAGTAATATTTATTTATCGTTTTAATGGTCATATCATCGCAGGCGTCAAATTTCGACATGGACCAAGCAGGCATGAAGCACCAACTGCTGCAGCTGCAGCAGCTGTTGTCGTTCGCGAGCCCGCAGCTGGCGCGCCACCTGGCGGCCAAGGACTCGGGCAACATGTACTTCTGCTTCCGGTGGCTGCTGGTCTGGTTCAAGAGGGAGTTCTCGCATAGTGATATCATGAGGTAAGTGTGGGCGACAAACCTAGAAACGAGGTTTCTATATTCTACCCAGCACGAAATTTGACGACCTCCGAGGCCGAGTGGTTTTTCCGCCGGGTCTCATGGTGTCGCCGATTCGAGAGGTCCCAGGTTCGAGTCCCGGTGGGGGCAGATGTTTGTGTGATGAATACGAGCATTTGTACTCCAGTCCATGGATGTTTGATATGTTTTTCTATATAAATATACTTATATATATACAGTTTATGTATTCTATCCGTTACTCTAGCATCCCTCAACACAAGCCTTATAGTGCTTACTTTGGGGCTAGGTTAATTGGTGTGAGTGAAAAAAAAAAGTTAGGTATCGCCATTTGTTCAGTTATTGCCTAATCTTCGTCTAATTGTGGCCACAATACCAACGCGTTAAAAAAAATTTGGTGACTCATTTCTTTGTCGCACTATCCGTAAATGGAATGCTCTGCCCGCTCACGTGTTCCCTCCTTCTTACAACCTGGGATCCTTTAATAGAGGCGTGAAGAAGCAACATGCAGGCCGGCAAGGTGAGGATGGCTGAAAAGGCAGGTAGATAGATAGGTAGTACCAGCTATCTTCACGTCTGGACTTCGCCGTTGTTGGCAACACCAACAAGAATTATTGTTTTGTCCTTGTTACTATATTCTCTTTCTCGCTCTCACGTGTAATGGCGGTTTTGTGTTTAACGTGTCTCCACGAATAAAATTTAATATCTTCCATAAAACTGTTTTTATTTTGCTGCCCACGACGCACCTGAAGATCCTGACAGCCGTCACTTAACATCAGGTGGGGTGGAGCAAAATGTCGCCTATCTATAAAAAAAAATTAAGAGGGTAATTTAAAATTGATTCACTAATTTTGGTCGGGTAACGTCGTTTTGTGATTGCTCGGCCATACTCCTTGTATCGCGCGCACTCGGGATGAACGTTTTTTCTGGTGTCTTTGCAATACTACTTACGTTAAGTGGAAATAAATTTCTACAGTTTATAGTCGTGCTATAGACCTTTATTTCACCGGGATGTCAACAAATGCTCGTGCGTCGTCCGTGTATGGGAATACATAGAAGAATGTATTTACTATGTAGTCGCAGCTTGAATTGGTCCATCCGGATTGCGCTCAAGTTGCCCGTGTATAGCGGCTCTTATTTATTTAAACTTTATTGCGCAAATAAGTGTACAAGTGGCGGACTTAATGCCATTAGACATTCTCTACCAGTCAACCGGAGAATAGGGGTGATGACGGGGTAAACGAAATTCTATTTAGTCCGTCAGTTAGATGATCAAAAAATAATGAACACGTATTTTTTCTTTGGGCAATCAACCAAAAAATGACAATGTTATAGCGCGTCAAAGTTTGGGAGTAAGGTCTCGTGACGTCAATTTTAAGTGAAAATTGTACCAAAACGTGACGTCATGCGACTTTTCAAATCAATATATCTCTGCAATGTTTATATTATGTGAAAAAAAAATACGTGTCCAATACTTTTTGATAATCTACCTGATAAACGAAGAAAAAAAAATAGTCGTCATCCCTATTGTAGCGAAGATCTTAAGATGATAGTGCAAAAAGAATATATCAAATTATTTATTAAGCAAGTAAAGTAAAAAGAAAGTTACATCATAAAATAATACATAAAAAAATCATCTTCACTTATACCTCACTATAAAAAATATTGCAAAATATTCAAAAGTGTAACTCGATTACATGTATAAATAAAAGTGATAATAAAAATAAAGCAAGATGGAATATTATAAAGAAACAGACACGACCACAAAACACATTTAAAAAAATACATTAAACAAAATTATTGTTCATAAGGTTGAAATATCAGATGCTCAAAAAATTGCTGAAACTTTTAATAATCATTTCATTTCATCCAGTCCAGCAAACAAAAATTCTTCTAAAAATAGCATCCCCACAAACTACTCACGAACTTTATTTATGTCACCGGTTGATAAATATGAATTAAAGAAACTGATTTAAGCTTAGATAACAAAAGAAGTTGTGGTTATGATAATATACCAATTAAAGTTATAAAGAGCTCAATTGAATATATAACCAATCCACTAGTCTATATCTTTAATCTGATGATTGAGACTGGAACTTTCCCCCATGAATTAACGATAGCAAAAATTAAACCACTTTTTAAAAAAGGATGTAAAAAAGATGTAAAACATTATAGAGCCATATCATTATTATCTTGCTTCTCAAAAATATTTGAAAAAGTCAAGTAATATTCCCGCCTGTTGCAATTCCTAAACAAATATAATTTACTTAACAAATGTCAATTTGGTTTTCAAAAAAAGAAATCAACCACACATGCTATTTACAAAGTCCTGAAAGAAGTATGGGAATCATTAAATAATAAAATTCCGTGTATTTGACTATTCCTACATATGTCCAGGGCATTTGAATGCGTTTGTCATGATACCTTGCTTCGTAAATTGGAGAACTTAGGCGTGCGTGGCCTGGCCCTAAAACAAATAGAAAGTTATTTGAAAGAAAGAGAACAGTTTACAGTGGTAGATTCATGTAACAAAAATAGTAAAATATTTAAGGAAGTAAAATCTGAAACAAAAAAGGTAAAAGTTGGTTTACCCCAAGGAAGTATTCTTGGACCACTCCTATTTTTAGTTTATGTTAATGAACTACCAGACATTATTAACAATTTATGCGTTATGTTTGCTGATGATGCAACACTTTTCATTCCAGACATAGATAATAATAAAACTCTTTTTGAAAATCATATTAATAAAACACTGGTTTAGTGTAAATTAGTGTAAATTTAACTAAAACAAATTTTATTCAATTCAGAAACTACAAAACATTGTCTTATAAATTACAAATTTCACAAAACAATACTAAAGGAACAGAAGTTGACGAAATTACTTTTCTTGGCGTCGCTATTGATTCAACTGGAAAGACCATATACAAAAAATACACAAAAAAGTATGTAGTCATTGTTATGCACTCTCTTTACTTACTTAAACAACATCAGTAGATGTAGCCAGAGCCCCCTGTTTCGGACAAGTTGACCCGCTGTTGACTTATGGTGTGATGTTCTGGGGTAATTCAGTGAATGTTCAATCCATTTTCCTAATGCAAAAACGTTATTTACGCATAATATATAATATGTATTCAGATGATACGTTACGAAATGTTTTTAAGGATAAGGGCTATCTCACTTTGACCAATATTTATATATTACATCAGCAATTTTTATTAAACAAAATCCAGAATACTTTGAAAATAAAACCACATTACGTCCGAATACGCGTAATAAATATAAATATGATACATGCATACCTAGGATAAATAATCACTATATTCCAGTATTATAATAGCGTGTTCAGTCTAGCATAAGGATCTTCAATCATTTGCCTGCAGAAATTAAAGCACACAATTTGTCACTGTTTAAATTTAAGTTAAAAAGCTGGTTATTAAATAATGTTTTCTAAAATCTTGATGAATGTTACACTTGTAAAACTTAATATAATTTAGGCTCTTAAGTTATAAATTTTACCGTTGCATGCCTGTTGTGGGCACACTGTTGTGACTTTGTTATTATTGCAATTCCAACTGCAAAATTGTACACAGTTTTTTTAAGCAATAAAGATATTATTGATTTTTTACTTTTGTTGCGGGGGAAAATAAGATGATGTAATCTTTTGTTAAAGTAAGTGTAATATTTCTATTCACAGACTCTGGGAAGTGCTATGGACGGGGTTGCCATGCAGCAATTTCCACTTGTTGATCTGTGTTGCCATACTCGACGCGGAGAAAGACAGTCTCATAAGCAGAGATTGTGGATTTACAGAAATACTAAAAGTAAGTGTTTGCTACTTTTACAATGCTGTCATTATTTTTACCTTTATGTAACAAAATCTATTGAATAAGATTTTAACCCATTTCAAATTGTCAGATTAAATGAAAGATACATTCCGTCCGTCCCATTTCACGAAATCACTCTAACAAATTGCAGGAAAGCGAGAGGAAAGATGTTACAGATCAAAAACTTGACGTTGACTTGCCGATCTCCCAAATGTTAAAAACGAATTTGTTGAAAAAAAACTATTGTAAAATGTTTTTATTTTTTTAAGCATTTAACTGCTAGAGTTTTAAATCTAAAGAAAAGTTTTACTAGAAAAGAAAACATCTAGCAGTTAAATGCTTAAAAAAATAAAAACATAACTATAATTGCTATTTCTTCTTTCCAATGTTTAATACTTGAAAAAGTATTCATTTGACATTGTGGGTTACCTACAATGCGAAGAGATGGTGCTGCCTTGCAGCTTAAGGCTAGGAAAATTTCGACGCGGCCATCAGGGCCGTGGTAGCATAATTGGTCAGTGCATTCGCCCGGATTGCGAAGGGTGCGGGTTCGAGTCCCATCCGCTGCTTGGTCCGCGTGGATTTTTTTCTAGTAAAACTTTTCTTTAGAACTATTGTAAAAATTAAGTTGTAAGAAATTTTGCATGTTAACTAACCAAGTATTCCAGAGCGGTAACATCCAAAATTGTTGTTTTAGCACGTAAACGACCTATCAATGTGCCTGGACGTAGACAGGATACTGAGTTCCGCCGAAGGTATCTACCACCAGGTGGTCTCCGCCCCAGATCTGAACGACCAGATCAGGGTCATACTCGGTCTACCACCCGTCGGGGCCACCAGTAGTACCCAGGGTAATGACGATGAAGAAGAGACTCCACAGGACAACGGTACGGGTGAAACGAGCGAAGGCTCCGCGTATGGCAAAGATATGGAGGAAGTTATGTATCAAATAGGGTTGGACATGAATTTCTAAAGCATACGCACTTTGTTTAAAAACTATAAATCTTGACAGCATGCGCAGCTTAAACTGTGAACAGTAGGTGTTAGAGGCTAAAATCGCTTGAAACTTGTCGATTTGACACTGAAGTATAGGCCACATTGGCAGCGAAGAGGAACTGACGTTGTTTATACACTTAGGCCGCTTGTTTCATCGATAGTAAAATTTTACGAGCTTTTTAGACGCTCGATGGCGCAAGTGGTTATCGCGTTCCGCTGCGATCGTTGAATTTAAGCAACTTTCGCAGTGGTCGGTCATTGGATGGGTGACCGAAAATTTACTTTCTCGAGCTCCTCCGTGCTTCGGAAGACACGTTAAGCCGTTGGTTCCGGCTGCATCTGCAGGCGTTAGCACCCATCAAACCGCACTGGGCCCGCGTGGTGGGTCATGGCCCAATCTCCCTATTCCATCCATAGGGAAGGCCTGTGCCCCAGCAGTGGGGACATTAATAGGCTGATGATGATGATGAAAATTTTACTATACTTAAATCATATAGAAAAAATAACTGTTTGTCAAAAGGACATGGTAAAAATTTGTATGAGCGACTACCCTTGCCATGTATAGTATAGTATGTATACTTAGTAATATTGAAAGTCTGAAAATGTATAATTTCTATGAAAAAGCTCAGGAACTTTAGATAAAGTAATAATAACTATGCCATTACCTTGTTACATTTGATAAAAGATATTGCCAATTATTTGCAGAGCCATCAGTTTCGCATTTTCTTAGAGAATCATACCTCCCATTTCTCTGATGTACACTTCCAAAAAGTATGTTTAAAGAACAAAAAAAAAATACAAATAATTTGTTGTCGTCGCCCTGACAGGAAATCGGTGAAGTTTGCTTTTGTTCATTTGTAAAAATCAAAGAATTAATTTTCTTACAGCCTTGTCTCAAATCTGATCAGAAAAATAAAATCTTAATCTATTAATCTTTAGTGATTTGTTACAATAACAAAATAGGGGTAAGTATTTCATAATTCTTAGAAGTTAATTATACTCACATAAATAATTTTTGTGTAGATTTTTGTTTATTTATTTTTGTAAAACGGAACGGAATTTTCTTTTCGGAACAGACATAAAGTCAATTTTCTACTTTTAAATATTTGATTATTTCACGAAAGTTTTATGAGAATAATGAATAAATAAAATATGTTAATGTTGCAGACTAGTGCGAAATTAATTATACATGTCAAGGGCAGTTTCTTAGCCATGCCTTTTTACACAAATTTACTATGCATTCGACGTGGCCTTAACTATGGTCTAACTATCGATGAAATACGTAGCCTTTGCCGACTTCTTACAAGATACCTAAGCTTAAAGCAATACATTGAAGTATTTAGATTATTATGCACTTATTTATAGCTTTTAAAAAAATTAAGTCTTATTTGCCTAATAAGACTTTTAAAATTGATTTTGGCATTTTTGATCTCTAACTAGTCTAGTGTACTTTAGTTATTTCCATAGTGTAATGTCGTACGGAATTTTATTGTGGGGAAACGCCGCCGACATTGAAACTATAATCTTTGTGCTTCAGAAGAGAGCTATTCGATCAATTTATAATCTTAAAGTTAAAGAATCCTTAAAATCCTTTTGCGACTTCCTGTTACACACTTCCGTCCCATTTCACGAAATCACTCCAACAAATTGCAGGAAAGCGAGAGGAAAGATGTTACAGATCAAAAACTTGACGTTGACTTGCCGATCTCCCAAATGTTAAAAACGAATTTGTTGAAAAAAAAAAGCTATTGTAAAATGTTTTTAAATATTTGATTATTTCACGAAAGTTTTATGAGAATAATGAATAAATAAAATATGTTAATGTTGCGGACTAGTGCGAAATAATTATACATGTTAAGGGCAGTTCCTTAGCCATGCCTTTTTACACAAATTTACTATGCATTTGACGTGGCCTTAACCATGGTCTAACTATCGATGAAATACGTAGCCTTTGACGACTTCTTACAAGATACCTAAGCTTAAAGCAATACATTGAAGTATTTAGATTATTATGCACTTATTTATAGCTTTTAAAAAAATTAAGTCTTATTTGCCTAATAAGACTTTTAAAATTGATTTTGGCATTTTTGATCTCTAACTAGTCTAGTGTACTTTAGTTATTTCCATAGTGTAATGTCGTACGGAATTTTATTGTGGGGAAACGCCGCCGACATTGAAACTATAATCTTTGTGCTTCAGAAGAGAGCTATTCGATCAATTTATAATCTTAAAGTTAAAGAATCCTTAAAATCCTTTTGCGACTTCCTGTTACACACTTCCGTCCCATTTCACGAAATCACTCCAACAAATTGCAGGAAAGCGAGAGGAAAGATGTTACAGATCAAAAACTTGACGTTGACTTGCCGATCTCCCAAATGTTAAAAACGAATTTGTTGAAAAAAAAAAGCTATTGTAAAATGTTTTTAAATATTTGATTATTTCACGAAAGTTTTATGAGAATAATGAATAAATAAAATATGTTAATGTTGCGGACTAGTGCGAAATAATTATACATGTTAAGGGCAGTTCCTTAGCCATGCCTTTTTACACAAATTTACTATGCATTTGACGTGGCCTTAACCATGGTCTAACTATCGATGAAATACGTAGCCTTTGACGACTTCTTACAAGATACCTAAGCTTAAAGCAATACATTGAAGTAAAAACAAAGTGGTTTGCACCATCATAAAAGTCGTAAGATGTTCTAACTTACTACCAAATAAGCGAATAAAACGTTTAGGCAAGTTAAGATCATCTTGAAGTTACTTATCCTACTTAGACTAAGTTCGTTTCGAATCGTCTTATGCTTCGGTTCTCTAAATCTCCTAATTGTGTTTCATCTCATCAACGAAGCATTATGCACTTATTTATTTAGCTTATTTTAAAAAATTATGTCTTATTTGGCTAATAAGACTTTTTAAATTGAGACCGTTAAGTATTATAAAATTCAGGAATTTTACTTTATATCTTTAAACGGTACCCTTAGCACGAATATCGAATTCGTAACGTTTGCGAGTACGCAATGTCATTTTCAAATGTGTACTGATTTTTAGTTGTCGTTACGTCCGTTATGGCGCTGCTGTTCAAGTTTTCATTCAAAACTTGACAATGACATTTCGGCCTCGCAAACTATTCGAATTCGTTAATGGTTCGTGCTAAGGGTACAAAACTCGGCCACAGTAAACATTAGTCTATGATGACATTAAAATTACAAAGCAAGATACAAAGCTAATAGTAAAAAGTTCGTTTGTTTTAAAATTCGCCATTCCACGCCGATTCCATTTGCTTTCAATGTGGTCTGTACTGAAAATATTGCACCAATTACTTAATGTGTGCTCCTCCCAAATTTTCCAACAGTTCATAGTAGATTGATGCAGTTGACTGACGATACTGATATCAATATTTTGTTTTGTAGAGTATTCAGTATAATATTATTATGTGAATGTTTTAGAGACTAACGGCCATTGCTGGATTTAAAACAGCGAAATATTATTGGCGTAGAATAATACTATGTAATTTAACAAGTATTTTAAAAGCGATAATACCTTCAAATGATTTTAGACCTTAAACACGCATTAATAAAGTATGCATTTGCTTGGACGTGATTTTGGTAAAATTTACTCAACTCTCAACTTTTTTGGTTTATAGTTTTTCTACGCTTATATTATTTCCATGAACTTTTATATGTAAATAAATAAGTAGATTTAGAGATTTTGACGGTGGATTTGTGTCTAAAATGTTTTATTTTGCCAGGGGTAAAGATTTTTCGGGATATTTTAACGAGTGTTGCCATGTTTACTGTTGTACAAACTTGGTAGAATTTATGTAGATATAAGTTATATTATATTTTCGCACATCGTTTGTGATGTATGTTGTTAATTTGGGGACAATCCATATCTATTTTTGTAACGACGTCAATAGTGACCAAAATTTTAATATATATATTTTTTTTAATAAACCTTCATCAATTATATTAGTATATTTTTGATAGCTGTGATTTGAGTGAGACAAAAAAGTTTAGTACCACTAGCAAAAAATATAAAAGATGTCGCAATTATTAAACGATTGTTAGCGTCAACAAAAATACTAATTTCCTAAAGCACGTGCATAACTTTTAATGTTTTATTAGTTGTGTAACTCTGTAGCGTGTAGCTTTTGTGATAAAAAAAAACATAAAACAATTATTTACACGAGTTAATTATTTTACTAATTAAGAAATATATATAGCATTTGTGTGCTAAGAATATAAACATAGGTAAGAGTGAATAATTTTAATTTGATTTAGTTAACGTTAGCTTATATGTTTATTTTAATATAGTTGAATGTAGTTATAGTTGCAAAATAACAGTGCAAAAATCACAACCCCTTTGTTCAACATTTTTATGCTTTCCTATCAACTAATAACTAGTAATGGGAATGTCATACCAACAACTTATTTATTTCTTCACTGCTTGGGCACAAACCATCATCATATCATACCGTTACCTGTTGGGTATTCACTAATTCACATTACTGATAAATATGGTGTCGATTCTGACATGATTCTCTATGACTTACAACTAAATTAAACATGAGTCTAATTAAGTAAGATAATTGACTGGCTTAAGACATACGATTATAAAGGTGTAGAGAGTCTTGTTTATGGCACCTCGAGATAATTAAACACACACGCTCACATCACTCAAACATAAACGTACATACACACACGCACGTAACCACGCACACACGCACACACACACACACACACACACACACGCACACGCAAGCACACACGCTGGATAAAAATTTAACACTAACCATATATTTTGCCAATAACTTGCTAATTCTATTTTTAAAATACTAAACCTTAGACGCTTCTGAAATTACCAAGTAAATGTGTCATTTTTTGGAAGATGCTGGCTCCTAATACACAGGTAAATCCAATATTTTTAGGAGCCAGCGTCCCCTAAGGTTTTGTATTCTGGTATTTATCCAGTAAAGATTTTTATTATTATTAGTCTCTCCTTTCCATTTTGTATAGAGAATGACAAGGATACACTGTTGTCAAATTGAAATTTAGGTTTTGAAAATCATGCCAGAATCAGCACCATTATCCATATTAACGCCTCTTAATAAACCTGCTGAGATATATGGTTCCTATTAAAACTTAGTTTGATCTTTTTATTAAATTTTCAAGCCTTTTTGGTTTTCAGGCACAAAAATTCATACAAATATTTGCTCAGCTTTGCTGTCCTTCCATTATTTTAATTCGCGTGTTAATTGTTTCACTTGCAAATATATATTTAATTTATATTTGTTATTTGTTAAGCATGTAACTGCTAGATGTTTAAATCTAAAGAAAATTTTACTAGAAAAAAAACCGTCCCGTTTGCTTTTTTTATAGTAAAATTTTCTTTAGATTTAAACATATATATATATTTAAATCTAAAGAAAAGTTTACTACAAAAAAATCCACGCGGACCAGGCAGCGGACGGGACTCGAACCCGCACCCTTCGCAATCCGGGCGAATGCACTGACCATTATGCTACCACGGCCCTATTCGCCGCGAAGAGATGGCGCTGCCTTGCAGCTTAAGGCTAGGAAAATTTCGACGCGGCGAATAGGGCCGTGGTAGCATAATGGTCAGTGCATTCGCCCGGATTGCGAAGGGTGCGGGTTCGAGTCCCGTCCGCTGCCTGGTCCGCGTGGATTTTTTTCTAGTAAACTTTTCTTAAGAATTAAACATCTAGCAGTTAAATTCTTAAAAAATAGATAAAAACATATATATATTTTCACACATTTCCTTTCGATTATTATGATAAGATAAAGAACACAAATCGTTTATAAAAATTGTAAAATTTCCTTTTTTTTTCTATTTCAGGATACACTCGAATATGACGGGATTCAATTGTATATTGTATCGAAAACAGTGTGGGCATTGCTCGCCTAAGGTCTGTACATTTAAATAAACAATTACGATAATAGACTGGAAAGAGTGATATTTTTTATACTTTTATAATAGGAATTTTGGAAATTATGATTGCCTCCTATTTGATATTGCTAGGGCAAATAGGGATGATGACTAATTTTTTTTTCTTCATTTATCGGGTACAATATCAAAAAGTATTGGACACGTATTTTTGCTTTTTTCACATAATATAAACATTGCAGAGATATATTGATTTCAAAAGTCGCATGACGTTACGTTTGAGTACACTTATAAGTGAAAATTCACTCAAAAGTGACGTCACGAGCCCCTACTCCCAAACTTTGACGCGCTATAACTTTGTCATTTTTTGCCAAAGAAAATATACGTGTCCATTAGTTTTTGATCATCTAACTGACGGACTAAATAGAATTTCGTTTACTGTACCCCGTCATCACCCCTATTGTGCTTTGTACTAATCGCAAAAAAGTAGCATAGCAGTAGATTGCATTGTTGTTTTTCTCCCGAACTATTGATTCCTTATAATTTTTTTTTTACTAGAAAATAAGCAACTATTTGGGTTTCGGACAGGACACGAACTTGTGTCTTTCGCTGTCGGGGCGGATGCACTAACCGCTGTGCTACCGAGACCTTAATGATTGATCGTGGCGAATTTCTTCTAGTATATCTTTGGCTACAAGGCCTTTATAATTTGTTTATTCCTTATTATTTTTTTTCTTAGAAAAAATTCAACTCTGTCAAGGTTTCGGGCAGGACTCGAACTTGCGTCTTCCGCTGTCGGGGCGGGTGCACTTACCGCTGTGCTACCGAGACTTTAATGATTGATCGTGTCGAATTTCTTCTTGTATATCTTTGGCTGCAAGGCCTTTATAATTTGTTTGTAGTGATATTTATATACCGCAAAAATTCAAAGTGTAGATGTTAATTCACAATTCTGCGACATCCAATGTTTAGATTTGGTTCCTATTTCAAGTATTATGTTGTATATTTAACGGTGCGACCTCAGATACGGCAATACATTTATCAGTTAAATGATGTCTGGGACACCTTTAGTTGCTTGATACTGTTATGATAGGTTCCGAAAAACTGTCCCGAAAATGTTGTTATGTTAAATGATAAAACGATGTTGTTTGTACGAGTAATTTATTGCTACTGTTCAATTCACTTAATAAAAGGCATAACGAGTCGCGCGCAGCGCCCACGTTAGCAAAATACTTAAACATATAGAATTGTACTGGTTTGCCCGTACAAATGAGATATGATGATGCTGTTTCTTCCCTTATGATTGAGAAAAAAAATAGGACAACACTTTACTGGCAAGCATTATGTTTAAATAATAACACCTTTAAGGTCGACAGTAAATAATTTATTATTGCAATAGAAATGTTAGTAAAAACATATTAATTAAATTGGCAGCTAAAACTGAGGCCCAAACACGAATTTTAACAGCTAATCTAATCTGACAGCTAAGCTAATATGCTGTAATCGTATCGCATCGTCAAAGTTTCTATGAAAGCTAAGCAGCGCCCCTAGCGGACGTAAGAACAAACTGACTCCTTCCAAACAAAATTTGATGATGACGCTGCGATTATGGTGCTGTCAAAATTTGTACTTGGCCTCTGTTAATTTGAATAAACTAGTATTCTGTCTCTTACAACGAAATCAAAATTATCATTTGTCAGTCAGAGACAAGACCATCGCAATGTAGCCTAATCTTCACACAACATCATTTTATTTTTAAGCATACAGCACAGCTATATGTTTAAATCTAAAGAAAAATCCCTCGCAGCTCAAGAAATACTAGAAGTAACTCGACGGGGGCATTAAAGGTCGCGGTAGCATAATCAGTGCATCCGCCTGGATAGCGGAGCGTGCGGGTTTGAGTCCCGTCCGCTGTCTGGAACGCATGCATTTTTCTCTAATAAAATTTGCTTTAGATTTAAATATCATTCTAGTTTTGGCAAAACCCATCTTTATGCCGCATTTACATTTGGTCGTTAGCCCGTATTCGGGTGCACGAATGATATTACCCGAATTCGGGCACCCGAAGCAATATTTACACTGAAATACGGTGTCGGGTAAAAAAAGGAAATCTACCTAATACGGGCGTACTCCACCTCGTTCATTTACCCGAATTCCATTGGCACTCGTAATCGGGCTAACGGCCAAGAGTAATCGCGCCGTTGTTTTCGTGAAAAATAGTCTTATGGCCAGTGTCAATGAATCGCGCCAGGAAGTTATAGACCTATTTGAGCATCGTAACCTAGATTTAAAATATTATTTTGATTAAAATAACAACTGTTGCTAAGCAACGAAGCAATGCCTTTTACTGTAGTTTGATTATAATAAAATTTGTGGTAAAAAAACAATAGTATTGTTGTTTTGTTTAACCCACCAACTATTTTCTTGCCATTAATGTTGGGAAGTAGCTTAGGTGGCACCATTGACCGACCGAACCAATGATCGACATCCCACTCTGCATTGAAAACAACAGTAAGCCACCGATCGCTAAATATGGCAACATCGAGATTAAGAGGGGAGGCGGGCAGTGATTTGTCCATACAGTCGTTCTTGACAGATTCATTCCTTAATGTTTATTACTAAAGAAATTATTTTCATATATATAAAACTCAAAGGTGAATGACTGACATAGTGATCTTTCAACGCACAGCCCAAACCACTGGACGATCTGGCTGAAATTTGGCATACAGGTAGATGTTATATACGTAGGCATCCGCTAAGAAAGGATTTTGATCAATTCTACTATTTCATTTCTTATAAATATATCTAATTTTCGAGGAGGAAATCATCGAGAGCTAAACCTTGAATTTTGCCATTTTTATACGAAATTTTCAGCGTTAGCTACTGTTGGTTCTATCGCACGGTATTTGCCAATGCGCGCGACAGCAATAGTTCTTTCAAATACTTATTTCTCAGCTCGCGTCCTCTCTTAAAGACACTCGGTGTTAGCGATCGGCCGGCCACCCACTTTGATTGGTCACAGAAAAATGTCGACCATTTGCTCTTGTCTGTGATTGGTCCCACTACGATACTCTGGCAATATTATTTGATGTAAACTATTCTTAAATCTTCTTTACCCACCTGCGCCTTAAGGAGGATATTGTTGTTTTTCAAATAGGAGACATATTTTCCATTTATGTAATTGATTGATGTTCATATGTATTCGCCAGCCTATCAGATCTTCATAGTTTTTTTGTTAATCCTAAAAAGCCAATTGGAAGCTGTGTATGGTTGATTGTGCCACATTAACAGAATTATTCCTATTTTAGTATAAATACAATTTGTATTAATTATTATGGTGTTCTTTAACTGTTACGATGCAATTAAATAGCATAACATTATTTTAATTCCTATTAACTATTTGTGGTGATTAAAATTGATGATTTATGTTGTGTAGTAAATTTTATTGTATAATGAAAAAGTGGATGCCTTGTGATTTATATTAAGCAAATAAAAATGTAAGTTACATTATTTTAATTGAAAATTATGATTTATGTAAGAGAGGATTTCATCAAATTTAATTGAAATTAGATATATTATAGTTTTAGTTATTTGAAACAGATGATTGTGTGTAGATTTATTACAAAAACAATCTTTGTAACTTTATCTACTTACATACTTCAACTACAAAACTTTCATCTCTATAAAATTTTCCCTACTTTTAAATAATCAATTATATATATGTGATGATTATCTATTAAACACAAATGCATATTAAAAGTTATGTTTCCTTTATCAAATTGTATTAAAATTTTGCAAATCATATGTTCTGTTTCATTGTTTAGTAGGTACCCTTTTCATAGTTGTGATAGATATTAACCTATTATGAGTTTTCCAGAAAGCCATTTCGCCTTCCCCCTTAAATACAGGTTTTTGGAGAAAAGACCCTCAACACGCAAATTATATATCAAAAATTCAATAGTTACTACAGAGTATGTATTTCTGCAACATTATCTATTACTGGATCAACATCGTCGCATGCGGTGTCTTTGCAACGCCTTAGTTAATCTTCTTACAGAACTTTGTTTTAAATGGCATCTCTTATCTATTAGACAAGTCCGTCTGTCTGTGGTGCTGTTTCAGCGGTCAGACCGTAAGAGATAGATAAAGAGAATATTTAAGTTATAAGTTAAGAATAGTCTGATAAGACTACAAACCGGATTTGAGTAACGTAGCACTTCCGGTTTTCGAGAAATCAGGTTTTGGTGAACATTTGGATCACTGGTTTGCTATTTATATTACTAAGGTGCAAACAATTAAATGGATAAATTAACAACAGGGCTCAAGTAAGTTCTACTGCAATCAAGGATGCGGCAGTGTGATGTCGCTTGGCAACTAAACTTGCCGAACTGAGGAGCTCGATGGCGCAGGTGGTTAGCGCGTTCGGCTGCGATGGTTGAAGTTAAGCAACTTTCGCAGAGGTCGGTCATTCGATGGGTGACCAAAAACTTCTATCTCGAGTACCTCCGTGCTTCGGAAGGCACGTTAAGCCGTTGGTCCCATCTGCTGTCGTTAGCACCCGCCAATCAGCACTGGGCCCTCGTGGCGGGTCATGGCCTGTTCCCCAGCAGTGGGGACATTAATAGATGATGATGATGATGATGAACTGAACTTGAGCCGTTTTTCGGGTCGAAGAGTATACCAGCGGTTCCTGGAGACCGGTGGCCATGACCGGAGGAATGGGTCTGGTAGACGTCGCTGAACTTCAGAGAAAGACGACCGATTCATGGTATCGACATCTAAGAAATCTTTTCTCTAATGCTGTTGAGTTGCAACAACAGCCCCAGGCAACTCGCAGAACAACCGTGCGCGTTTCTATGGTTAGACAAACATTGAGAGAGAAGAAGATAGCGGTTCATAGAGCTGCTACGGGTCCAAAATTGACCGCAGAGCATCGGCGAGCCCTTATGCAGTTTGCTCGCAACCATGTCAATTGGACTCTTGACCTATGGAGAGGTGTTCTCTTCTCAGACGAGAAGAGAGTGTGCCTTTTCTCCAACGATAGACGCAGAACAGTGTACAGAAGACAGGGGGAACGTTTCGCCCAAGCCTGCATCCAGGAGACCGTGGAATACGGGGGCGGTTCCTGTATGTTTTCGGGCGGCATGTCGGCCGTAAAACCGGCGTTGGAAACATCTCCCGGACTGAAGTGCTCGCGGGCAAGGGTCGCTTACTGCTTACTGGTACGTCACAGAAATCCTGGAAGAGCATGTGGTCCCCTATGCCAGTTTTGAGAAGTTCAGCTCAGCAAAAAGCTTAAAGCAAAACTGTCGTAGTTCCACTAGAATGCTTGCTAAAATGCTTTCGTTTATTTTTCTGTACAATAATACTAGCAAGAGTGCCCATTATAGGGAATCAAAATGCAGGTGAACAATTAATGTGTATTTCACATTATGTAATGAAAGGTGACTCTATGAATCATCTCTGAAGTCGTTTTTCAACTTGAGGACTCTGTAATAATAAAACAGGGGGAAAAAAACAGCCCTTGTGGAGTTTCTTGCTGGTTCTTCTTAGAACAAGGTCTCCCACCGTAGATTTATGAACTGATGGTGTAGCTTCTAGGCATTCATGAGTGCTTGTTACAGCCTTAACTGAATCAATGATTTTGATTAAGATTATTATGATAATACTCAATTTTATCATCACCTCAAATTTGCTATTAAATAAGAGACTAAAAACATTTGTGACAATAAAAGTCATTTGCATTGCTTTCCATAATATTATTTAACACAACTAAGAAAATGAGATCATTATAAAATTTTGTACTTCTGAATATATGCCAATGTTTACCTATTTAAAATTTTACAAACTTAAAACATTCATTGGCATTTGTGAGTGGGATTTCAAGTGAACATTTAGACCATACCGAGTCTGATATGACTTGTCACATAAATGACAATGGAAATTCTTTACCCCTGTGTGAGTCAAAGAGTGTCTTTGCAGTTCAGATTTTGAGAAAAACCTCTTTCCGCAACTGTCACAACCATACTTTTTCTCTTTCAGATGGTTCTTACGAATATGAGAACTCCTGGAGCTGGATGATATAAACGTGGCATTGCAAACTTCACATTTATGATTTCTTGTTCTCTTGTGATTCCATAGTACATGGGAGTGGAGACCACCAGGAACCTTAAATTTCTTTGGGCAATATTTGCAACTGTAAGGATGGTTGTTACTGTGTGTTAACATGTGGATCCTAATATATCCGGGTGGATAAGATTTGCCACACTGATCACACTGCCTGAGCACTCTCTCGGACTTGCCTTTATCCTTTTTGGTTTTATTGGGCTGGCAAGAGTGAGCATTCAAATCATTCAAGTTATAAAAGCCATCCCAGCAGTTTTCACACAAGTATGGCCTCATGTGCAACTTTCTATGCAGGACTAGGGAGCGAAAGTCATCAAACTTCTCATTACAGTATTCACAATCTCTGCCAACTGTACATTTCACAGTATGACTACTGTTGCAATGCTCACCGAGTGCTTTTACTGAAGAAAAGTCAGCTTTACACTCCACACAAAATAATGTTTGTATTTCATTTTCTGTGTCGATCACTAGTGACTTTCTCGTCTCTCCTCTGCCCTTTCTTTTCTTTTCCTTATAATTATTTGTTTGTGATTCTTCTCCATGGTCAGACTCATAAATTAACTCACAATAATTGTCAACATCCGTTTCTAAATTTACTATGTTCTCAGCCAACTGCTTTGCACTATTTTCTATGAGAACTTTGAAGGAATATGTTATTGTTAGTTGATGAACACAATTGATGCAAATATTTTGTGGATATGATTCGTCCAGAGAAACCTGGAAATTTATAATAAGATCATTATCTAATAAGTCAAAATTTCACTAAATATTAATAGATGCTAGATTTGCACAGGCAGAGTATAGATTTGATAATATTCATCAAGTAACCTTGTAATCATAAAAGTTTTCTAAAATTTCGGAGAAACGTATATCTTCACCGGCAATTTTGATGCAACTATGTATATGGCGCATATGATTATCACTGCCCAGACATGTCCTACACTTATCTACTAGATTCATTGTTTTCATGAAACAAAATAATCTGTTTTTATTTAACACTAAAACATATAAATTAAGATTAGATATTGATTGTTAAAAATTAGGTTGTCCATGTCAAAGTTGACTAATGTATGTTTTTTTTTCTATTCTTCTCTATTGAGAAAGGCAAAGGCAAAGCCATGCAGCCATCGTCTTATTTTTGTATTAATCTTCCTTTTTTTTACATTAGGATTGTGGGTGTGACGCATTCTAATGCTTCTTGGAGTGTTTGGCACGAAATATATCGAGTTGACTTTTTCGATAAGCTTCTGTGAGGTAGTCAATACTACAAAAAAGTTCTCACGTCCACTTGACCGGAATAGCGTACATTTTAAAGATTCCACAAATTCTTCAGTTGCGCAGACGGTTGTAACACAAAATCACACCAATTTTATTTCACAATATCCACTATGAACAAATTTAAGAATAATTAAAATAAGACGCCAACCGTACTCGATGAAATCCCACCAAAAACCCTCTGACTGATGGATGAGTTCTGTCTGACTGACATTTTCGAAGTGTTGCCGTGTTGCCAATGATAAAACAGTTCTTTAATCTTTGCCATCTGTGAAACAGTTTAAAGTAAAATTAAAAAAAAAAACTGGAAGAGTTTTTGGGTGCGGCCAGAGTGCACTCAGATTCAGATTCTGAAAACAAGCGCGAGAAATAAACAGTGTAGTCTAAGCAGGTTGCCTGCTTTTTCTCGCGCTTTGTTTTCTGAGTCTGAATCTGAATCTGAATCAGGAGTGCAATCTGGCCGTACCCTTCGACTACACTGTTTATTTCTCGCGCTTGTTTTCGGAATCTGAATCTGAATCTGAGTGCACTCTGGCCGCACCCTTTGGCGGGATTTCATCGAGTACGGTTGGCGGCTTATTTCAAAATTATTCTTAAATTCGTTCATAGTGGATAATGTTAAAATATAATTGGTGTGATTTTGTGTTACAACCGTCTGGGCAACTGAAGAATTAGTGAAATCTTTAAAGTATACGCTATTCCGGTCAAGTGGATGTGAGAAATTTATTGTAGTGTTGCCTACCGCACAGAAGCTTATCGAAAAAGCCAACTCGAGACAGTTCGTGCCAAACACTCCAAGAAACATTAGAATGCATCACACCGACATTCTAATGTAAAAAGAAAAAAAAAGATTGATATAACTCACAGACATATAACTAGTAGCAGACGGAATATTCAGTTTTAAACAGCGTGGCAAATACACACATTGAAACTCACCAAAGCATGGGCCGCATTTAGTATAGTAGAATAATGGATGTCATTATTGTTTCATGAAATACCTATCCGAATAGATAGGTCCTAATGTGATGTCCATGCTAATAATATTATAAATGTAAAAATCTGTCTGTTTAATATCTTCATGGCGAATTTAGCCAGGCGAAATCGCTGAACCGATAATGATGAAATTGAGCATGGAGATAAAATTAACACAGGGAAAGGACATAGGTACAATTAGGAAAATTGAAATAAAAATTTAAGGCATAGTTTTTATCTTTTTATTTTGAAATAATACAAGTTTTTTTTGTAAATTTCTCTGAGATATATTTGTTTCTTTACCTTGATGTTTACATCTAAGATCAAAATAAAATTTGACAACAACTTTAATAAGCAAGTGGACATGGTTTATGTCATGATCTGGATTGTTCGAGTCAAATAGTGAATAATCAACATAATCACATTTAATCAAACTATTAAAATCATTATTTTTGTTTATTTTAAAACAAAAAACACTTAAAACACTATAAGTATTTGGTTGCCAATCCTGACGTTTCATATATTTTAACCATGCATTCCGAGTACTTTCATCCTTTGGAAACCTAGAACAAAATTGTTTATGTGCTTATTTGGGTTATATACCTACCGATGCCAATGTTCCAAGAAATATGAATAGGTAGTCTGTAATAGGTACCTATCTATTTACGTTCTTGATTGCATTCACATTCAAAATACAATGCAATGCAAACAAAATTAATGCCGAGAAACTTTTTGTCCTTGATACCGAGTCCGTCCTCTGTTATGGCAACAGTACTTCAGCTGTCAGAATTGGAATTTCCTATCATGATTTATCCTGATTACTTCTATTTCTTTACTTTTAGGATATTAGTTTTCACCGGTAGTGTCTTAGATAAATAATCCTACGTAAAAAATGTTACATGTTACGATAATATTTAAATAAGCTTCGAAAAGACTCAAAGACATTTCAGTACACAACAAAGACACATAAAAACTTACTGATTAAACGTTAATCCTGGTGTTCTATTGTAGGTAGCACTTTCACATCGATACGCACTGTACTTGACCATAGTAATTGAATAATCTCGTTTTGTAATATAGTTTCATCAAAGCAATATTCTTAATAAACACCGAAAAGTCGCATGTCCGATAAGTCATGAATAAAATGGCGGCGAGGAATAAAAATGACACGCGTTGACATTTGTTGATGTGTGAGTCATTGTGGCAATAGATGGAAGAATGAGATGCCACTATAGAGTTGTAGCTGAGTGTAAAAAGGATAAAAGATCATGTTTTGATTCATAAATATAACTAGGTTTTTATGTTCCGTCTGCTATAGTATTATATGTCTGTGATATAACTAAAGACCAGGCTGTATAAGCATTGTTCCCTTTGCCTTCCCTATTTAATGCAACCTTTTGTCAACCCTATTTAATGCAAATAAAGAGTATTCTATTCCCTAAAACGGGAGAATCTTATAAAAATATCTTAAATTAAAGATTTGAAATTAGAAAAACCAAGACTCAATTTCACCACACTTTGTTAAATCGTTTATAAGCCAATGATGTCGACTCTGACATGATTCTCCAAGCGTTAATTTAAATTTGACATCAGTGTATACTTCCTTATCATTCGTTATGTATACAAAATGAAAAAGAGAGACTGATGTTTAATTAAGTTTAAAGTTTAGATAATAATGCCAGAATCTTAAGGTAAGGTGACCACAACTTTACTGACATTTATTCATTATATTCACAACCACTTCTGTTTTTCTTTTTGCATTGTATTTTCTCATTGAAATGTGAAAAAAATCTAGGATTTATTATGGTTTGTTGTGTTTATTGGTAAGCATAAAAATGCATACGCCACACTATTATTTTAAAAAATTTAAGAAGGCATAATAGATGAGTATCAGAAGAGTTTACTTACCTATTGTTGTTTTTTACTATTATCGTAAACCTTAGATTAAAACAAAAAGAGAAGATACGGCACTCGCAGCTTAAAAGTGATTCACTTTAATTGTGTGGTGCATGAGCATGACTACAATTCACTTTAGTCACAATTAGCAAACACGCAAACATGCAAACACGCTGCATGTGCACTCAATATAACAATATTGCGTATGTTATAAAGATGCCTTCGATGCTTTTATTAACGGACTTTAAAAAAGAAGGAGGTTCTATGTTCGACTGTATATTTTTTTTTAAGAATACACCAATAGTTCTAAATCAAATAATCAATGCCTCGGCAACACTTCATTCGTAAAACTGTAAAATCATTTTAACTCAATAATCACGGTTATTTACGTAATCGCCATTTTGTTATCAAGAAAAGGACAACAATACATGAGCGTACCATATCTTCCCTTTTTCTTTTAATCTAAGTCGTAAACGTATTGATTTTTAGAGTAACCTCACCAAGTGTAGGAGGATAATTAACCTTTGATTAATCTATAAAGCTTTGATGACACGGGGCGAGTAAAAGCTACAAGCAAGCAAGTATGGTAGCAGCTTGTAAACTCGCCCCGTGTCATCACCTTTTATACCATCTGCTACTCGATGATACGGGGCGATACGGGGCGACAAGCTACTTGTGAATTCACTGGCTTGTAGCTTGTAAACTCGCCCCGTGTGATCGAGGCTTAAGACAACCATAGACTCAACTCATAATTTATAAAGCCATTTTTGATTATGGGATTGGGAGTGGCAATGGCATGGCAATACCGATCAAACCAAAACAAATATGGCGGATGAAGTAAGTGGTGTCAAAATGAATTTTCATCCACCTGACGAAGAATCTCAAAACAATAGGAAGGTAATACAGAAAAAAGTGAATCGCAAACGCAAGAAAAAGTTCGCTCGACGGAACTCGCAATTTGGTGTTGGTAAAAATAAGAAGAAACAGTCAAAGTTGGCCCACAGCATGTCTACTTGGGCAGAAAATTTCACAGTTGCTGCTACATGGCAGATAAAACATCAATTGGCTTATTGGAAAGCGCGGGCAAAAGCTTTAGAATATGAAAATAGTGTGTTGCACGAAATAATAAGGAAAAAGAACTATGTAGACTCTAGTGCAGCGCCAAGTACGAGGGAAGATTTAGAATCTGAAGATGAAGAAGATTTTGAAGAGAACGATGATCAAGTGGACGATTTCGAAGTGAGTGAAGAGTTCCTTCAGTTCCTTCAGGCTAATGCAAAATATAAGGAGGATGCCAGACGTGAAAGAGAGAGATTAAAAGCTAAAGTATTAGCGGAAGAAAGTGCTATTGAAAGGCTAGAAGCTGGACCTCCAGAGAATGTTGAAAACAGTGAAGATAAGCTGAAAGAGTTGTATGGTGACAGATGGCAACGTATTGCAGCTTTAGAAATGTCATTACAATCACAGTTTATTGATGAATGTGATAAAGAAAAGCCTGAGTATTGGCCTAATATACCTTTCAATTTTAATTTTGGATAATAATCCATTTCTGTGATCAAAACTTTGAAGGAGCAATAATTATGATTTCATAAGTTAATTTGGCCTTGTATCAATAAAATAATATCAGCCTAGACTAGATTGTAATTAAATATAAGATTTTACCTTATCTGTATGTTGCAATATTTTATAAATTATTGTAATAAAAGGCTAGTAACAAACAAGTTTTAACAATTTCCCAAATGCAATGTCGAATTTAAAATTAACATAGAAATCAATACATGCATTAAGTATATTATAAATGGATATTAACTTTTTGTTTCTTCTTTATTTTTACTCTTACCTATTTTTTACAGGTTCTAACTAAATAAACTTTTAAGCAGTGCATGGTTCAAAACAAAACAAGAAATCTGGTCAAGTGTGAGTTAAACAAGATTTTTAACACTTAAACTTGGGATAGTGATTAAAGTCAAGCAAAAAGTTTATTTTCCTCCTTGCTTTATTATGATACTGATACTATCTCTTATCTATTAGACAAGTCCGTCCGTCTGTCTTAGTGCTGTTTCAGTGGCCAAACCGTAAGAGATAGATAAAGAGAATATTTAAGTTATAAGTTAAGAATACTCTGATAAAACTACAAACCGGATTTGAGTAACGTAGCACTTCCGGTTTTCGAGAAATCAGGTTTTGGTGAACATTTGGTTCACTGGTTTGCTAGTATTTTATTAATATGTATTTGTTTATTTACATTATATGATAAATTTCAACTGTCTGCCTGTTGCAGTTCTTGAGACAGCTTGCTGACCTGGGCAATGGGATTATTAAAAAAAAAAATGACGGGTTGCACTCCGGGAGTGCAGGCAGAAGTGCAAACTTGAATATTAACATTGTGCATTTTTGATATTTTGGAATGGTTAAGGAATAATTTTGCACGAATTACTTTAATTGTCAGTATAAAAGTATTATCATTTATGTGGTAGAATAATATATTTATTTATTGCGCTATCGTACACAAACATGACAATTTATATTACATTAAAACAGTTTATCTCAGAAAAATCAACTTACATGAATCACGTTTAAGCGCACTTAGCGACATCTATTGTAAAGAAATCAACTTACATGAATCACATTTAAGCGCACCTAGCGACATCTATTGTAAAAAAAATGCATTTTCTTCGCAATAAAGCTGCCACGTGGATGTCCTAGATAGAGACTTATTATTATAATACAGTAAAATAAAATATTACTATGTTTCGTGTAATACATTGAAAGTCAACAACCTTTCCAATTTTATTGTGTGTCATGCTGCAATCAGCCCACTTGTTTAACCTGACGCGAATTTAACATTTTTTACCCATACAAAAAAAAAGTGTACAACGCCGCCAAAGAAGTTTTCACTTAAAAAATACTAGTCTCTTGTGTTTGTAGTCAAAGAAGAGACACTGGTTTAATTTCTGTTCTTTTATAATAGTGATATTTTGTTACTTTATGTACATTACCTTACAGAAGATCACATAATAACACTACCTTTTGGTGGTGTTGTGTTTCTGTCCGTGAGTAAGATTCCAGGGTTCCAGGGATTGGGTCGGGTTGACACCAGGGGGCCATTCGCCTAACGGAAATGCTAAGGAAAACGCTATCACTTACGATTTTATTTTGTTATTTCTAGCCGCCTGAGTTTTTCAAATGTCTCGCGCTTTTTTTTTCTTTTGCATTGGTAATAACAATATTAAAAAAAAAATAACGTGAGGTATTTGAAAACCTTCGGCGGTCAGAAATAATAAAATAAAATCGAAAGCGTTAGCGTTTTCCAAAGCAGTTCTGTTAGGCGAATAGCCCCCAGTGCGAGTGATATATTTGTTCTTGTAAGACTAACAGGCCTGGGCAAATGGCGGCCCGCGGGCCGAATCCAGCCCGCGGTAGAAAGTCTGACCGTGAAGCATTGTATATTTATTATTATTAAAATCACAAATATTTCTTTCTGTCTAACATACATTGGTGCATAAAAAATTTAACATAAAATATTAAGCAATACTTATACACATTATCAGGGCCGGTAGGAGCCAAAATTTTCTCCTTTTCTCTCTTTCTCGTAAAAACTACTTAAAATTAGAAAAAGTAAACTGTTAGGCCCGAGGTCAAATTTTCATCTGCAATGTGGCCCGACTATTAAAATATTTGCCCACCCCTGGTCTATAGGCTATGGTCGCCGCTTACCATCAGGTGGGCCATATGATTGTTTGCCACCCGTTTAACAAAAGAAACCAGAAACAATACAACCCTGATATAATTAACAGTATACATAGAAATGAACAGTATGCAATATTCTGTTTCTAAGAACTGCCACAAAATAGCACACAACTTCTACTGTTACTGAGGCCCATACTACAATACATACAAGAGCAGTAGCGTAGCCGTTTTCTTGAAATAGATACCTATGACTGAGCGGAGCGTTCTACCGGCCATACACACTACGAGAAATCGTTACGATTAGACTGTACAGTCCGAACGGTACCGATAAATCGTAGCGTGTATGTTATAAAACTGCACAGTTTCCTATACTAAACGAAATCGTATAAACTGTTCCGTTCGAACTGTACAGTCTGATCGTAACGATTTCTCGTAGTGTGTATGGCCGGTATTAGGGTTGGCGCCTACAAAATGTAATACCCGCCATACACACTACGATAAATCGTTACAATTAGACTGTACAGTCCGAACGGTACCGATAAATCGTAGCGTGTATGTTATAAAACTGCACAGTTTCCTATACTAAACGAAATCGTATAAACTGTACCGTTCGAACTGTACAGTCTGATCGTAACGATTTCTCGTAGTGTGTATGGCTAGCATTATACCCGCCATACACACTACGATAAATCGTTACGATCAGACTGTACAGTTCGAACGGAACAGTTTATCGGACGTGGCATACGTATAGGAAACTGCAGTTTTATAACATACACGCTACGATTTATCGCTACCGTTCGAACTGTACAGTCTGATCGTAATGATTTCTCGTAGTGTGTATGGCCGGTATAAAACAGATTTGTGTTGATGTTTATTGTATGTGTATAGGTACTATTGCCACGTTACGGAATCGAAACGGAGGCAGACGGCGCGTGCGGCGCGGCGCAGCTAACTTAACTTGGCTAACGACCAGTCTCGGCGGCGCACGACGTGGCACTGTGTAGATTTGTCTTGCCAAGATTCGTTAGCGGCCGTGTAAATGACGTTTGTCTGTGTGCGTGCGTCGATTCGGGCGCTAGTATGAAGTCAAAGTACTGCTCTTGTATGTATTGTGCCTATACAATATACTCAATGAGATACTCTCAACATATACCATCTTCATAGAGCAAGTTACAAAAAAATTATATCTCAGTATCTTGCGTAAAAACGCTTGACTATACTAATACCTGCATATAATAAAATCTTCTTAAGCCAATAACGTGATTCCCTATTGAGAATAGTTATCTTCTGGCTTTGTATTCTCCCTAACTTTATGAACTTAATCAAATGCACACTTATGGCTCAATTACATTTGGTCGTTAGCCCGTTTTCGGGTGCACGAAAGACATTACTCGAATGCACCCGAAGGGCACCCGAAGAAATATTTACACTGGAATACGGGCTGGATGACGGTGAAACGGTTGTTATTGTTTGCTGAATACTGGCGTACTCGACTCCGTTCATTTACATTTAGTTTAGTTAAAGTTTAGTTAAAGAATCATTAAGAGATAAGTTTAAAGAATTTGGAATAATGACGGTCGCATCACAATACATATACGAAAATTTATTACTTGTAAGAAAAAATATTAATTTGTTTCTTAAAAACAGTGATGTTCACACAATTAATACAAGAAACAAAAATAAACTAACTTTACCTGCTACTAGGCTTCACAAAATTAATAATTCATTTAAAGGTCTCTGTGTACGCTTATACAATAAAGTCCCAAGCAATATCCAAGAGTTAGCCATAAATAAATTTAAAGATATTATAAAAAAACACTTATTAAAAAGCTTATTACAAAGTGTCTGATTATATTACAGACAAAAATGCTTGGGTTTGAACTGTTCCAATCATTCCAACAGGTTTTCTATATTAAATAAATCATAATTGTATTGACGTTGTAACAACATAAGGATTTGTAAATGTTGTTACATTAGCCTTTTAATGTTGTGGAGTTTTTTTCGCTCGTTTTTCTCCGTAGCTAAAAAATATGTCCATAACGAGTGGCAGGGAAAAAAAATTTTTGGACGATTCAAAAGAGTTGTACTATACATGCAATTTGAATAAAGATATATTGATTTCTGATTTCTGATTTCTACACTTAGTCGTTAAACGAATTCCATTGGAACTCTTATTCGGGCTCACGACCACGTGTAATCGCGCTATTAAAATGCTATACGCTGCGGTCCGAATTGCACGATTTCGTACAAAGTTGCACCGATAGCGCGCATTCAACTGGTCCGATATGAACGTATTCATGCAATCAAAATCAAGTTTCCTTCAAAAATTCATGATTACGAGTTTATATTAAAACTAGCTGTGCCCCGCGGTGTTACCCGCGGTTTATTAGGGATCTTTTCCCGCAGTAAAACGTAGCCTATGTGTTAATCCAGGGTGTCAGCTAACTCTATATCAAATTTTATTAAAATCGCTCCAGCCGTTTAGACGTGAAGAAATAACAAACATACACACTAACAAACTTTCGCCTTTATAATATTAGTGTAATGTAATGTAATTTCTGTTTATTTTAATATCTACCACACATTTTTGATTTAAAATTACCAATTTAAGCTTTTAATTGGCAACAAACCTACGACGGACGTACGCGAAAATCCTTTAATTCCTCGTTCGGTTAAGGTAGGTTTGAAGTTTGAACGCAGTTCGTTAACATTACACGAGTCTATATTTACTACTCATGTGATTGACAGAGCGCATTTGAAGAATGTTATTTTTGGAAGCAATATGTGTGAAATAGACATAACATAACCTTAATAAAACATACAATTTTAAATGGTTTTATTGAAAAAGAAAAACATATATTTAGAAAAGAAAATAACTACTTCTTATCCATACTTTTGCTTTCATGTTTTTTATTCCAAATTGGTGAAAATCAAAACAACTTCAGTCACCATTCGGCTGATTAACATGGCCTTGGTACACTACAACGTACCATTTCAAACGTGTTGAACTAAGGTCTAGTACCCATTGGACCCTCCTAATTGGACCTTACTACAAAAAAGTGCCCGTTCGACCTCCTATCAAGAACATGGTGCCCATTGGACCCTCAAAGACGTACTTAATGAC